TAACTGTTTATTAAAAGTACTAAAAAAAATCTTTTTTTAAATTGATTTTTAAAAATTTCACGGGCAACGCCGGGCACTTCTTTTAGTATTTTATATTTATTGACTATTGTTATTAATTTACTTCTTCACTCTCTGACAAAAAAACTAAATTGCTTACCCAAACTTTATTACTTGCTTACTTGCAAATTTACTGTGCTAAGAGTCGCAGCAGTGAAAGAATTGAAATTTTATAATTTATTTAGGATATCAACTGTTGTACTTGTACTTGTCATTCCCTTTTCTGCTCTTCTGCTTATCGAATAGCATTCTGTATTTCTGGTAAGCCAAATGATATATTGGAAAATTGCCAGCAAATTAATCATATTATCCTTCCACCCATTAAAAAAAGAAAATTTAATGTTTCTGGCATGTTTAGGTATGATGTTCCGTATGTATATACAATTGTGTTCGCTGAAACAAGGCTTGGAGTTACATCACAACATTCCACGCATATAATTTCCATCATTGGTAATACATAATTTTATATTTAAAAAATAGCTTGCATACCAAATGATTAAGGAATCTTGAATACAATCGGAGAAGTTATCATTGGTTGGATTGGAGATCAAACATGGGTATCTTCACACGTCCTCTACGCAATATGCATGATATTATGCGCTGTCTCCACAGCATTGATGCCATTGGTAGAATCTTACCCGATCCTTCTAGGTATACATATTACATTTATCAATCCTTCTAGGTATAAATATTACATTTATCAATTCTTCTAGGTATAAATATTACATTTATCAATCCATAGGTATTAATAATACAATTATATGCCAAAAAAGAAATCGTAAATATACGTACAATCCGCAACTTATTTTTTATCACTCTAAAAATAGAAGTTAGTTAGTCTCCTGCATAATCTGAATTTCGATTTACAATCCTACGTTTGGAAAGCCATTGCCTGCATAGCAAACTATTAGTTTTCAACGATTTACAGTTAGCAATATATTTTCAGAAATACCAAAAAACAGTATTCAAAGGTTTGAGACCCAACTTTAGATATGCTATTTTATTTCATGATTTGTTTGATGAAATTGGAAAATCGACCTCAGCTCATGATCTATAATTTTTAAAAACGCTTGCACTGCCTCATTTTTAACAATGAAAAAAATGAAGACTATTTGGAGATTTAAACGAAAACTTTTTTGTGAGTTGATGTTTTCTAAAAAATGTTATTTTTCCAACTTGAATACTTGGCAGAAGATCTTTAAAGAATTAAATCTAAATAAAGTATTTTTTTTATTTATTTATGTGTAGGATTGTCTGGAGTATACGGGTTCTGTATATCAGCAAACTACTCACTAACCTCACCGATCTTGGTAGATTTAGTAAGTATTGAGAGGTTTAGCTCAGCATATGGATTCCTCTTAGCATCTCAGGTAAATGTTATAATTCTAAATTGTTCACAACATAGACTGTTATAATCATAGATAAATAAATAAACATAGATAGCTTATGTACGCAAAATCACAAAGAATTGTACAGTCCGCGAACTCATACTTCTAGGGGTCAAAGTGTACTTCAATGATAAGCGGGGTGGTTTGGTGTTTTAATAGAGTGTAAAATAACTCCGGGAATGGAACTATTTGAACAACAATATTTCACTGAGCAATATATCATATTGACGAGAACTAAAGAAGGGGTTGAGAAGGACTAAGCTAAATTAAATTTCTCTCTACAGAACTCATGTACACCACAAGTACTCAATGACATAAGAACAGCCAATGTTCACAACCGACCTAGTTAATCTAGATAATAGGAATATCTTTAAAACATCTCTGTACATTTACATCTTTCAAGATGAAAAATTTCGTCTTATGCGCAATCTATCTTTATCTATGGTCATAATCCTTTTAAAATGTTTTAGGGAGTTGCTAATCTAATCGGACCACCATTTGCCGGCTGGTTGTACGATTACACCAAAGAATGGTTTTTAACCTTTGGAATGGCTGGACTTTTTATCGGTAATTTTTTTCAAATGTTAAGAGGTTAAATATTTATGAAATTTTTCTCTTGTATAGACATTAGACAACTTTAGAGCTTAATTTTTATATTTCAGGAACAATTTATATGAAAATAACGGCGCCGTGACAAACTCCTGAAAGACAAACTCCTGAAAGACAAACTCCGGAAAGACAAACTCCGGAAAGACAAACTCCTGAAAAGACAAACTCCTGAAAGACAAACTCCTGACGAGACAAACTCCTGAAAATAAAAATTCTGAAATACAAACTCCATAATATCAAATTTAAAAAAATGTTATAAACCCCCCCCCCCCCCCCCGATCTGAAAAACAATGGTTTTTTCAGCAATGGGTAATGTATTCCTTTGTGTTTAAAGGGATTGTTTACCTATTTTGCCAATAAAGAGAGTAACATTTAGATATTTTACTATTTTGTCTGCTCCAGAATTTTTTTCTGTCTGGAATTTGTCTCGTCCGCGCGAAAATGTTTACTCCCAAGTTTTGTCCTGACGCCCGAAACAAATCTATTTCAATCACTTTGTTATAGTAAAAGGTTTAAAATTTTAGTATATTAACTACATGCAGCAAATGCGTCGTACTTAGGGTTTCCAGCGAACGAAAACTTTCTTGAAAAAATGCTAAATTTGTGTTCGTATTTAGCAAACTTTTTCGCGAAATTGCGCATTTTTCGCGAAAATTAATAAAACGAAAAAGATTCGAAAACGATGCGAAATGTCCCGAAAATACTTTTCATGAAAAATAAAATCCGCAAAAACAATTAATTGCGCAAAAAAACTCGAACCATTAAAAAAGTTAATTAAATAAAACGAATCTTTCAAAACTTTGTTAAACATCTTTATTAGAAAATTTTATTTTTTTGTATCACTTTTATTTTGACGCAGTATAAGATAGCTTTATGTTCAACTACGAACCAGGCCCAACAAATAATACCATGTATTTAGGCTGAAACAGCAGGTGTTGTTGCAATATTTCATGCCGTCCCTTTACTAACTGGACCTCTCGCTACTTGGCTTACAGATAGGTACTACATGTATGTATATATATATATACATACATATATACATACACACAAATGACGAGACTGTAAAAGACGATCCAAAACTTAAAAAATATTACTATTTGACGCTTGATTTTTGGTTTCTGCCTTCAATTGAGTATGTTGATGTTTTAAAAAATGATTATAGCACAGAAATAAACCAGTTTTGGCCTACAAGGAACCCTAGACAAGAAAACTATACATATTCCGCACAATCTTCTCTGAAGTCTCATCCGTTGTGGGTTACCCTGTAAAGTGTACAAAATTGATTAATGTATCATGTATATATAAATAGAAACTTCCTTGTATCTGCAAAAATTTCTGATCATATTGCCTGTGTTATAAGTAAGCTGTACATTAGGCAAAAAAAAAAACACTTCGTTTCCTATGAAAGGAACTGAGTTTTTGCCACAAACTAAAATCTTCTGATTTGTAATCTTTTGATGAAAACCTTCGATATTTCAAACTAAGATTATTTTATCTATAAGTATCAATAGTTTGAAATATCTAAGGTCTACGACATTGGGTTACAAAGATATAGAGATTAGAAAATCAGACTTTGTGGCAAAAAACTCAACTCCTTTCCTATCAATAATGTGCCAATGAAATGTTTAATCTATAATTATGATCTTTATGATGAAAATATTCATCTATAAAATGTCCTAACAAATTGCGCAGGTATGGGTGTAGAAAAGTGACTATAGTTGGAGCTATTCTAGCTTGTATTGGGTTTCTTTTGGCTGCCTTTTCTCATCATATTGTCCTTCTGTATCTTTTCTTTGGAGTTATTGCAGGTAATAATTTAAGTAATTTGTGTATGAAAAGAAGTGTCATCTAACATGTTTGATAAAAATCTAAATGTTGCATGTTAACAACCTTAAAAGAATAATCAAACTGAAATCAATTGAAATTGGAAATGTTTTGAAACTGGTCCAATAATTTCATTATCATATTATTTTATATTTAAGGATTTGGACTTAGTCTCTGTTATGTAGCAGCGATAATTATTGTTGCATATTACTTTGACCGACGACGAAGTTTTGCGACTGGTATTTCTGTTTGTGGATCTGGTGTAGGTAGGAGAATTTTGTAAAATTTATCATAAATAGATTATTTTTCAATAGAAAGGAAGTGGTGTAGTAGTGATTTAAAAATCTTAACATAGGAACCTTCTTGTTTGCTCCTTTGACTCAGTATTTAATGGATGAGTATAGTGGATGGAGGGGTGCTTGCATCATACTTGCAGGAATTTTCCTTAATATGTGTTTTTGTGGAATGCTTTTTAGGTAAGCACTTCTTAACAGAAAAACTTTAAAGCTTAAAGTAACTTTTTAATTTCTTATTTTCAGGGAATTGCCTTGGACCAAAGAGATGAAGGGTAGAAGAAAAAGTTTTAGGTCAATATCAGAGATGCCAGAAATTGGAGATTTAAGGTCCATCAAAAAATCACTTGTTTTTTCTTCTTTACATCATTGTCATTATAACCTTTCTATTTCTACACAGATCTGCTTTGGAGGACGGGGAAGATTTAAGTGGATTTCTTTATAATGAAGAGGATGAACCAAGGATTGCAAGTAGTCTGATAGATCTTCCAACCTATGTCAAGAATGCTGCAGGTCTACCGCCAGATGTTCTAAGTATGCTGGCTAGAAACAAGGAAACATATACTTTTATTCAACAAAATTTTCCAGACTCCCTAATAGCAACCAGCATCAGGCAAGTACAAGTTACAGTGATATTCTAAATAACCCGGAATAATATAAATTGATTAATGACCTCAAAGCCGTCATTGATCATAGAATTAGATTGCGGCATTTATTACAGGTAAATTGAATTTAGCTATATTTTTAATGACAAAAGTAATCACAAAATAGCCCTAACTAATCCTAAAAATACCAGAGATATTATAAATGTTGTTTAAATTTCAATTTATTAAATAAAACCATGAAAATATTTTATTCTGAATGAAGGTTATTATGAAAGCTCAAAAATGGCAGATTTTGCAAATGGCAGAACTAGGGCTATTCTGTAATTATTGTTTTATAAAAAATATTGCTAAAATTAGGTTACCAATGTTGAATGTCTCGCACTATTTCTAAGGTCAAAGACGACTTTGAAGCCATCAATATATTTACATTATTCCGGGTTATTTTGAATATCACTGTATAGATTGTAAAAATGGTAAAAGTTTACAAAGTCATAAAATAAAATAATAAGACTTAGAGAACTTTTTTCTTTGCAATCATCTCTGAAGTCTCATCTTTTGAGTTTCAATGTATAAAATTATTTCACATTTTTAGCATAAAGGAGTTGAGTCTTTTTGCCGCAAACTCAAATTTTCTAATCCTTATATATTTGCAACCTGATGGTGTAAACCTTTTATATTTAAAAATTAGATTATTTGATCTAATATAATTCATAGTTTGAAATATCTGAGGTCTACCACGTTGGGTTGAAAAGATAATGGATTTAAAAAATCAGAGTTTGTTGCAAAGACTCGAATTTTTTAAGATATTTAAAATTAGGAAATTAAAGACTTTTTTATGAGTTATGACAATAATATCTTATTTATCTTTTTATAGCGAATACGGTTTGCGATCTGAAAACGGTTTTGTGGATAAAAAGAACGATCATGATCGGTATGTTAAAAATATTTTATTTATATCTTTTTTTAGCAAAATATTCAAAAATACAAAAACTAGCTTTTTAATGATAAAGAAGAATTGAATTTGTAATAAAGAATCAAGAGAAATTGATTTATTGTTTATTCTTTTAGACTAAACAAAAAAGAGGAGAGTACAAGCGTGAAGCTCGTCCGAAAAGTATCTTCATTACTGAAAGTAAATCATGAAAACATTTAATAAGAAAAGATATCTAATAATTTGATCTATCAAAATTAAATTTTTACAACTTTACAATTTATACAGAAAGATGAATCCAGGATAACTAGACCAGTAAAGCAAAGATTAGAGTTTGACGGGGACGAGGAAATTTCCACTTTTCCCCAAGGAGTGGCGAAACCAAGAGATGAGTTGGCGGATGAAAGTAATAAAGAGTTGGAAGTTCTCACAAACAGACAAAAGTAAGCCTCGTAAATTTAATTGAACACTTTTATAATCATAATCTTGATCTCAGGTTCCTGAAAACCCATTGTTTGAAGAATTTGAGGATGAGACGACAATCACTTACATGCAAGAACCGAATCACGTAAAATTTTAATACTTTTCTTTAATAATGTTGCTTTGTATAAAAAAAATATATCTGTTTTCTGTTTTCTTGGATTTCTAGTCTAATTGGATTTAGAAATAACAATTCAGTTGGAAAATAATATTTGTTTGACTTTATCTTTGTAGGCAAGGTCTCCGTTCTTCCTCTTGTCCTGATATATTAAACCCTGTATTACCTGATCTAGTGAGTGAACCAGGTACTTTTTCTTAAACTTAAATGTTCTTAAATAGATATATTTTTTTGTCAATAAAAGTACTCAAAGTTATCTATATAACTTAAAATTAATATTATCTGCAAAAGAATAAAAGAATCTAAAGTGCAATTTTTTATTGAAATAGATTTATAGCACGTCAAGTGATAGATAATTCAATTATTTTTGTCTAGGTTTTTTAATCTATATATACATACATATATATATATATATTCCTTTACAAAGTCACATTGCTTTGTGAAAACATTAGGACAGTTGCCAAAAAGCTCTATATTGTTTTTTCTTAAACATTTTTCCAATGAAGATTTTTTTCAGATTAAAAAGAATCTTTCATGCAAAAGAATTCATCTTAACTTCTAAACTTCATCAAAAATTCAATGCCGTTGGTAACATCTGAGGTGAACTATTTATTTACATTTGGAGCCATAAAACTGCAGAGATTATTATATGTTTATTGATTTTGTTACAAAGGAAATAGTTTTACAAGTAAAGCTTAAGTGAAATAGGGGTTTGTACACTGCAAAATTGTTGTGTTTCATGAAGAACTATTTTGATCATAATTCAGTCGTCTTTCTTTGACCTTTCCTTCATTTTTATTGGTTCCACAGTAACAGTATATTTGATCAACACTGAGCATCGTTCTTTGTATGAACAAGGGCCAATGACATCCTTGGAGGACAATAGTTTGGCCACTATACATGTCTCACGTAAGAAAAAGATTCTTTTATCCCGATCGGAAAGGTCATCTTCTCGACCATTGTAGTGTTAGCAAGGAACGTACTCTGTAGTAGTTATAATCGTCTTGAATTGTTTCTAGAATGAACCAGTCTAAATCTTCAAGCATAACAATACTACACAAATGACCGTTATTAGGTAAGTTATTTAATTAGAATTACATATTCTTAACATTTAATAAGCTCTTGAAGTATAGTGATTTACATTTTTTTGTTGATTAANCCGCAGCGCTCGGCCCACTAGCCTGTCCTAGCCGCAGCGCTCGGCCCAGAAAGTGTCTCAACCTAACCTAACCCTAAATAATAAAAAATAAATAATAATAAATTTGCTGGTTATTCTGATCATTGTAATACTTTGCTGCTAGAAGCATATTCAAATTACTAAAGATTGAGAATTTTTTCTAGAATATTTGCGGATTTTTCTTCTAAAGTTTATGAATTTTATCAAATTTCATTCAGAGAAAAATTTCATAATTTCAGGAGTTTGTCTTTCAGGAGTTTGTCTCGTCAGGAGTTTGTCTCGTCAGGAGTTTGTCTTTCAGGAGTTTGTCTTTCCGGAGTTTGTCTTTCAGGAGTTTGTCTTTCAGGAGTTTGTCTTTCAGGAGTTTGTCACGGCACCGAAAATAACATGTATAATGAACTTTTAAGAATGCAATCTTTTATGGCTGAGGTTTTAATGAATATTTTTTTAGGTGGCTCAGGTGTTCTTCTGCTCATAATACCAATTGTATCCTTCGCAAATAGAATGAATCAAAACAAGGAAGACAAAAGAAGCGAAATTTCCCAAAATAATTCCATGTAAGTTTTCTCTTCTTAAAAAACTTTCATAAAATATCAATTCTTAATACTAAATCCTGATGAGCTAGAGTCAGTCAGGGAGTTTTAATGGATGGAAATTGTTTAACTCAGTATCTAATTGTCTAGCTTTTCAAGTTTGCGAAACTTATATTAATAAAATTCAGAAGTTTGACAATTGGCAGATTAATAACAGTCAGGTCATGAAATAAACGAAATAGTATTCTGTGACATCAAATAGATTAAGTTTAAAGTATAATAGGTTTACACCACTAGGTTGCAAAGATATATCAATTAGACAATTCGAATTTATGGCAAAGACTAAATTCCTTTACCAAATTTCTGCAATTATAGAAGCCTTTCTTTACACACCTAACAACAAAAAAACATAAGCAAATGTGTAATGAACATTTGTTCGGCTGCAGTGGGAGATTAAAAGGACTACTGCAGTGGGAGATTAAAAGGACTACTGCAGTGGGAGATTAAAAGGACTACTGCAGTGGGAGATTAAAAGGACTACTGCAGTGGGAGATTAAAAGGACTACTGCAGTGGGAGATTAAAAGGACTACTGCAGTGGGAGATTAAAAGGACTACTGCAGTGGGAGATTAAAAGGACTACTGCAGTGGGAGATTAAAAGGACTACTGCAGTGGGAGATTAAAAGGACTACTGCAGTGGGAGATTAAAAGGACGACTTCAGAAATTTCACTTTACTACACGTTTTGTAAAAGAAAGAATACTTTTGAAATGACTAAGGAACTTAACGTTTGCCTCAAACTCTAGTTTTCTTATCCGAATAGCTCTCAACCTAAAGGTGTTTAGTTAATGCGTTGATCTTTGATATTTAAATCTTTGACCGAGGAATTGATTCTTTGTCAGAAATCCCAATCTTTAATCTCTATATCTCTGCAATCTGGTGATGTAAATCTATGATATATTACTTGATCTAACAGAATTTATAAATCATAATTCAAAATATTTAAGGTGTTTGACAATGGGTTCAGAGATATGAGGATTAGAAAATCATAGTGAAAAAGACTTTATTAATTTTTCAGGCAGAAATCGTAGTTTGAAATATCTAACTTTTACGACATCAGATTGAAAGATTTAAGGATAAGAAACTTAGAGTTTGTGTTAAGGGTCTAATTCCTTTACAGAAAACATTCAAACGCATTAACTCTGGTTGATACCTTTTTCTTAACTATATCTAAAAGAGGTTGGATTCTTTGTTTAAGAGATTGCAAACAACGCAATTTTAATCTTTAAGTTACTTTTACATCTTAGTACTTGTGGATTTCTACATTTGTTGTGTTCAAAGGGGGGGGGGTCTCGAAACGTGATAATAAGAACAAGGCAGGCTTCAAGGAAAAAGGAGGAATATTTATTTCCCAAGAAACGGTCCCCGAGCAACTAAAGTTCTCAGGTTGGCAATTGTTCATAGGCTTCCCACGAGTTCTCCTCTAATCCATAGACGATAATATCAGAAAAGTCTTTATTTCGATCCTGTAAATAAGTACGATTAACAATGATTATTACTAGGGTTTAAATATGTAATGTTTACGATAATTATTTTTAATACGAAATGTGCTTACTGAAGGGTTAGAAGGGAATACGCAGGATATTAAACAGTGCTAAAGCAACGTTTTTGACATCTGAAATAAAATGACAGATTTTATTATTTATTTTAAAATTTCAGGAACGAGTTACATGAAAACAACGGCTGTGTAGAGAGTGCTGTATCTGTATAAAAGAATAAACTTTGAAAATTGAATATACTATATCATCTGTTTTATTTTTTGAGGCCATTCGGACATTTTTATTTCAAATTTATTTCAAATGATCCCATACAACTCAAGGTATCATCAAGCAGTTTTAAAAAGAAATAAAATAATTGTTTCAGTTTAATTTAAAAAAGAAAATATCATCAATCTAAAAATAAGTTTTTCTAATAAAACATACAAAAGTTCGAAAATAATAGAAAAATATGCCAGAACTTTCTTCAGATAATGGTTTACTCTCAATAAAACCCTAATCTCTAAAATCATTAATTAATATTTTTCTCTTTAGAACTTCATTATTTCCTCAGCAGGCTTTATTGAATTAAATATTTAAACCTGTTAAATCACAGTAATGTTGAGTTGATATGAATAACAATGTACTCATGTATTGTTGCTTTATTATGTTTGTTTTTATGATTTTGTAAACCATCGTATTTATGTTTTGAAGTTTAGCTATGTTTACGTACATTTCATCACTACCTGTGATAATTATGGAGAAAATCCTAAATGTATTAACTGAAAACATTGAAAATAAAACAAAATAATCATAATACATCCACCATGAACGGTATGCAGGATGCAGTGAGGGAGGAAGAACATGTGTCGCAAGGGGCACACGTAAATTTCCGGGTCAATTTTTGTTGATGTTGCCAATCGGGAAAGTTTTGTTAAAAAAAGTAAAATCAGCCTTTTAAACAAGAAAATGAAAACTTTAATAATAATTTTCTCGTCTTGCTAATTGTACCTTATAACATACATAGATGTATTATGTACTACGTATTGCTAAAGTGTACTTCAAACTTTAATTGCCATCAAATACTTGAATAAAGTACATTAATGGGTCTAAAAATCAGAAAACTAATTCTTGCAAAAAATATCCAATTTTTTTGGTGGACCAAATTTCTGACACTTTACTTTAAAATATTACTAATAACTATTTTTACCTCAAGATTATTTGTTGGTAAGATATAAATTACGAAATGAAATTTTGGTGAGCACAAATTTTTGCAACTTTGCAAATCCGCTATTTTATCATATAATATATCATTGACAATCCATGGGGTTAAGAGAGAACGAAATCCCAAGGGGTTCATCTTTCTTTTTCTGGTAGAGCTCATCAGTCCATGCCAATTGTTTTCTGCTGCCTAGTCTTCCTTTCCTTCCTGTTTCATGATCGAGAATAAGACACAGGGAATCGGGATCAACAGCGTACAATTAAGAGTTTCTGCGGCTGGGGGGTGGGCCGTGCATCCCCCCCGCTCGGGCTCCTCGGTCACAGCCTTTATCAGTGTAGGGAAATATAAATTGAATCGAATTATTAAAGGCCAGAAAAGGTGTATCAGAAATATTAGAAGAAATAAATATTACACACAATAAACATACAGAACCTATATATCCAAGAAACTTATATTCTCAAGTTTAGGGATCTTGTTTAATTCAACTGTAAAATATTTATGCATTTATTTTGTCATGAAAGTCTGCCAAATTGTTTTTCTAATATGGTCCAGAAATCATTTTCGATTAGAACAAATAACAAATTGTTGCAAAACTTGGCAAGAATTCTGGTTTACATCGGTTTCCAACCCCATTTCCTTACCAAAACTGTAGAAATAGCTAGAAAATTACTTTAGTATAATTGTAAATATCTATGTAATATATAATTATAAAACTGTTTCTCATGACCTTTAATTTTTGTACATATCTATTGTTAATATTTAACCTGTAAATCTATAACATTATTATTATTATTATTATTATTATTATTTGATTCAGTATTTGAATAAACCACATATTCGACAATACAAGAGCTAAGAAGTAAGTAAGTGAGCATACAGGGTGTCCCACGAAACATGACAGTTGGTGAATAGTTTAGTATGTCTTTTTCCATTATATTTGCTCAGTTGTTTGATACCAAAGAGCAATAAATATATTATATGGGAGTCATGTTCTATTAAAATTGATTTCAAAGTAAAATATAATCAATTGCAAAAGATTTGTTTAACTAAAAATAACTGTTTATTAAATGCCATGTTTCGTGGGACACCCTGTACATCCCATCTATATGGCATGAGGCGTAGCTTGCCCGAGGAGGGGATAGATAAAACTCCTAAGAATGCGCGGTACATGGGTCTGACGGGAAGTATCTTAACTTAACCTAACCCGTGGCCGCAGCGCTCGGCCCCCTAGCCTGTCCTAGCTGCAGCGTTCGGCCCAGACAATTTCTTAACCTAACATAACCCTAAATAATGCTAAATAAATACTAATTTCGTCATTCTTAGGAGTTTTATCTATCCCCCCCTCGGGCAAGCTACGCCTCATCCCCATATATTTATTTAAACGCACAATTAGACCAATAAGAGCGAAGCTCTTAGATTTGCGTCGCAAGAACATCTGATCCAACCGTCAAAGCGCAACCTTGTTTGAAATCTTTAAATACGCAAACGGATGAAACCGAAAGATCAATTTTACAACCTGCACGCACATAAGCATGGTTAAATTTAATCGTTTTTCAGTCCAACTACTTGTCATTTGGGTGGATTTAAAGTGAGATTAGTACTTGTAAAGAAATCCATGGGGCCTTGCAACATTTATATAATTTAATCATGCCCGGTGCAGAAGTCAGTCTCTCTCTTTCTGCAGATAGATAGATAGAAGAAAGGATGAGACAGCATATACGCCGTACTGCCCTGCCATTATAGGCCTGGGGCCATAGAAAAAAAATATTCTTTAAACTCGGCAACACAAGTCACAACTCACAACAACTCCGGGATTCTGATTCTAAGACTTTAGGGCGTAGGTATGATTTTTTTAGGAATCAAGGTGTAAAATCGTTATTTTTTTGTTTGTATTTTTGTAATTGATGAATTTACAACCTCGACGGCCGCGACCGCCGGCCCAACATCGCAGGCTCATTGACTTATGGAGTAAATAGACCGACCCTGACCCTGACAATTACTAAATGTTAAGTCAATGTGATTAAGAGGGGGCAATATGCAATAACCCCCAAGCTCCCCCTCCATCAGGGGCGGATTGAACCATTATCTGCGGGACATCACGGGAGGGGGGGGGGGGGGCAGAATTGCGCGCTTAGAATTTTAAAAAAAGCAGTAAATTCCTACTTCTTATTTGTTCAAAAATACAAGTTTACAAACTCCAGTTCTCCCACTTTCTTTTCTGTAAACTCTAGTTCTCCTACTTCCTATCTGTAAAATCTAGTGCTGTCCTACTTTCTGTCTGTTATAGACTCCCAGTTCTCCTACTTTCTATCTGTAAAATATAGTTCTATCCTACTTTCTGTCTGTAAACTACAGTTCTGTCACTTTCTATCTGTAAACTCCAGTCAGCTCCTACTTTCTGTCCGTAAACTCCAGTTCTGTCACTTTCTATCTGTAAACTCTAGTCCTCCTACTTTCTGTCTGTAAACTCCAGTTCTCCCACTTTCTATCTGTAAACTACAGTCCTCATACTTTCTATTTGTAAAATCTAGCTCTTTCCTAGTTCTGTCACTTTCTATCTGTAAACTCTAGTCCTCCTACTTTCTGTCTGTAAACTCCAGTTCTCCCACTTTCTATCTGTAAACTACAGTCCTCATACTTTCTATTTGTAAAATCTAGCTCTTTCCTACTTTCTATCTGTAAACACCAGTTCTTATACTCTATCTGTAAAACCCAGTTATCCTACTCTATATCTGTAAACTATAGTTCTTGTACTTTATATCTGTAAACTCCAGTTCTTCTACTTTCTATCTGTAAACTTTAGTTCTCCTACTTTCTATTTGTAAACTCTAGTTATATCCTACTTTCTATCTGTAAACTCCAGTTCTCCTACTTTTTACTTGCAAACTCTAGTTCTTCTACTTTCTATCTTTAAACTGCAGTTTTCAGCTTTCTATTTGTAAACTCCAGAACTCCTACTTTCTATCTGTAAACTCCAGCTCTCATACTCTCTATCTGTAATACCCAGTTTTCCTATTTTCTATCTGTAAACTCCAGTTCTTCTACTTTCTATCTGTGACCTCCAGTTCTTATACTTTCTATCTGTAAACTTTAGTTCTCCTACCTTTTATCTGTAAAATCTAGTTCTATTCTACTTTTTATCTGTATAAACTCCAATTCTCCTACTTTCTATCTGCAAACTTTATAGTTCTCCTACTTTCTATCTGTAAACTCATGCAGTTCTCCTACTTCTTATCTGTAAACTCTAGTTCTCCTATACTTTCTATCTGTAAACTTTAGATCTCTTGCTTTCTATACCTGAAAACTCTAGTTCTCACACTTTCTATCTGTAAGTTTACAGGCATATTAGTATAATTATAATAAGATGATAAACAATTTTGATAGGTATTTTTTCAGGTAATTTATTAAAATTCTATTTTCGTTGTGTCTTTCAACCCTTGATGCTTTTATTTCATATCATAAATTTCCTTAGAGGGGGGGAGAGGAGCGGAGCCCTCCCCAGGAGCTCAGGGTGGGGCCCAGGCCCCACTCCAATCTGCCCCAGCCCCCATGTATAGCCTTTCATGCCGGAGAAAACGTATGACCGGATTCTTGTACTTCGAAACAAATTAACAATTTATCATAAGTAAGTTTTGTTTGTTTCAATATCCAAAAGACGTGGTGTCCCTTTGTAATTTTTATTTTCCTGAACTTCAAGTTGTATATACTTTAAATAATCTTTTCATTTGGGCTAATAGACCGCCCCTAGTCGGCAAGGCAATTCTGTAACATATTAAGAGAATCCAATTAAGAGAATAGTGCATGCTTGAAGGTTATAAGTTAGTATAAACACATTCACCCCCCCCCCCGTGTGCAGAGTGAAAGTAAACACCCCTGTCTGCAATTACCCTGAGTTTACCCCTGTCCAGGAAACTCAGGGTAAATATTTACTTTTTTTTTCGATGAGGAAAAACGAAAAGATTTGTATTAAGTTTTATTTTGACTAAAAAATCCTAATTTAACAAATGAATTTTTAAGATTGCTATTTGATTCTCATCCAATATCAGCTGATGGGAGCGCGCTCTCCTGCCTGCCACTGCAGCGGTTGCTGTCTCAAGCTGTCGTGCTGTCTCTTAGCTGTCAAGGCGGGCGCAGCAAGCCTCGTTGCTGAACAGCTGTGTTTCAAGCTCAGGGTGCCCAACCTTGTGGATTAAATCCCCAGAAGTGCCAAATCTGGGGATTTTGAAACCCCTTGGGGATTTGTAGATATTCTGGGGATTTTAATATTTATTCTGATATTTCTGATATTCTGTCAAAAATTAATGAAAAACATGTCTCGAAATTATGGGAAAGTTTTCCTGTAACATATATATCTCTTTGAAAGGGGGTTGAGTTTTACATTTTTTTAAATTTAAATATTGTCAGTTTGTATTAGATGAGTATTGTTAATCTGGACTTTTAGAAACAAAGTTTTCTGTAAATTAAAATTTCCACGAGAAAATTAATATAAAGGTAGAAAAAATTCACAAATGTCAGTAGTAAATTTTTTTTTCAAAATATTACAATCTGGAGATGTCTGAGATTCCACTGACGCTCATTTGTTTTCATATCGGTATCTTGAAAATTGTTTAATCTATAGGATCAAAAAAACTATTTTTTGGAATTTTGGTTTAACATTAGTTTTTTGGCAATTTTTTTCAAAGTATGTAACATGAGCTCTGAATTGTAAGCAACTATTTTTTTCGAAGTGTGTAATGTGACTTTTAATCTTTTTGTGTTTCAGAGTTTTAAATGAAACTATAACATTTGCACTGCAGTAAAGAGATCTGAAATTGCATCAGTTACAGAAATAAATGTTAAAAACTCTCATAAACCCTCCCAAAAAACTCTAAAAAAGCTGTTTTCTGTAGGAAAAATTGAGGATTTTCTGGGGATTTCTTAATTATTTATTGAGGATTTTGTGGATAAAAATTTTCCTTTCAGTGGATTTTTGACAATTTAGAGTTGGGCACCCTGTTCAAGCTCTCCACTACACTCTACCATGCATGACATTTGAGCTTTCTGTGAAGTTTCCCGGCCATTGCGTCTTTCAGCTTGTTCAGAATTCTATCATAAGAAGCAACAAACAGTCTAAACCCATTCTCAACCCATGTGAAGAGTTTGACAAATACAGGGTAAGTACTTCAAGCGTAATTTAATGGGAAAAATTGCGTTTTATTGCGTTATAGAGCGGGGGAAGACAGCCGATAATGGCAGCATATACTTGGAGCCGGGACTGGGTGAGGGGGGGGAGGGTTAATACTTTATAGTTTTTAATACAGCACAGTCTTCAGTAGTTGTTCTTCTTTTTGTATTATTATATAGAGTTTCTCGTCTAAGGTGGGATAACGTTTTAGTCGTGCTTTTAAGTAATCGTAAGATGTATTTCTATCTTTTGATATTTAATTTTAAACATGTTAAAGTTGTCGCGTTGTGATTTCTTTCATAGAGTTAACACAGATATTTAGTCAATTAAAAATTCGTAATAAACCGAGTTTAAGAAGTTTTGTACTTTTTAAAGAACTATATACGCATAGTGACTAGTGAGGTTGCTTTCTCCAAAAGGCAGAAATAGCCCGTGTGTTTGCCCAATGCCCAGTTCATATCCAGCCTCCAAACCACGCATCGCAATCATGCTTATTGTACATAGTATAATGTAAATTAAAATCTCTATAACAAAAGTTTAAGTTACCATTTATACTGTGTGAACTGTACGGACTACGGACATTATTGAGAAGCCTCAATAGTGTTTGAGATATTTATTCTTTTCCTAGAACAGGGATAATCGCTTGAACGTGTTGTGACCCTCTTCTTAAATTTTTTTTTAAATTTGTAGGCAGAGTTGTTAAAAATTTTCCAATTCCCCTTCATGCCTTGGATTCTTAGCAAACTAGGCAATCTTCACTACTTAGTGGCACATTAAAGAAATCATCTCACAGCCAATAATTCATTATCTGTGAGATTATTTAGGGTTAAGTAAGTTTAAGACCATTTCTGGGCCGAGCGCTGCGGTTAGAACAGGTTAGGGGGCCGAACGCCGGGGCCAGGACAGGCTATGGGGCCGGGTGCTGCGGCTAGTACAGGCTAGGGGACGAGCGCCGCGGCTAGGACAGGCTAGGGGGCCGGGCGCTGCGGCCACATGACCAATGATATCCATGAGAGATCAATGTCCAAAATTGATAGGAGGGGGGGAGGGAAGGGTGGCCGGGGGGTCCAAAAATCCTACACTAGGAAATTACCCCAAAAAAATAGGAGGTGAAGGGGGCGGGGGTTTTAAAGATCGCTTATTATAGGACGGACCAAATTCTGTAAACCCTTTTTCACATAATTTTTTGAGGATCTCCATAACTCCTCAATTTTAGTTTTTTTAATGACAAATTTCCTAACATGCCAAAAAAGCTCTATAATTTCTCCACTGAACACAGTCACAAATAAACTGAATAAGTTCTGTGTTTGTTGCTGTGCACAAGTTAAAAGAATGCCGCGGAATATTACGAATAGAAATCTGATCGTCTTCTTCTGACATTTATATCGTAAAATTTGACTTTTAAACTGTTTAAAAAGAGTTAAAACAATGCTCAATTTTGTATTATTTACTCTTCTCTCTTTGTAAAGAAGGTTATTTCTCTACTGTGTATAGCTGGGTTTATGTTTATCAGTCGTACTAATCAATTAATCGATAGATATTATTCATCAGAGTTCAGAGAGTTCAGAGTTCAGCTTCAGGCGCAGGTTGAGCAGGTTACAGGTATCTAGTACCAGTACGTAAAGTGAAGTGAAGACGTTAAATCGGTTTAAAACTTTACATTCAAGCACAGTTAGGGAGACATTTCAGATTAAAGTGAAGGGGGGTCTGTCCTAGTAGATAGGAGTCTAAAAATCGTTCGATAGGAAATAACCGAGTATGTTTCATTTTGACAACCATTTAATATATTTGTTTTCTCATTTTTGATTTTTTACATTGCTTTATTATTGATTTTGATGATTATTATATCGTTGATTTTTAATATGAGGTTTGAATTATCATTAATACTAAATCAAAAATAAATAAATGACTTTTCATTAGAGGGTGTCTGGACTCTATAGTTAAGATGTTTTTAATGAATTATCGAGCTGAAAAAAATGGAACTTTATTTAATGTCCGACGATCAATACCTGTATCGTTCCCCTCAAATAAGATTTAATATGTTTTACTTGATTAAAATTCTTAAAGTTCAAGTGTTTGTTGAAATTTGATCCATCAAATAAGAACTTCTCATCAGCGTTTCAGCTAGTTCTGAATATATGTATTTTGTAAACGCTTAAATTTTTCTGCCTCCATATACTGGTTGTCATAATGCTTTCAAATTAATAGTTACAGTTTTATAATTATAGCCATTTATTTTTTAATATTAAGTCGATGCGAAGGTCATCATTTAGTGTTTAAGGTTTATCGCCATGTTTTCAGTAATAGCTCAAAATTTGATCCGTAGCTGCAGAAAACTTATTTGAACAAATTTAAAGCAATGTTACTTAGAACCAAAAAAATAACTTGGCTTTGCGTAGCAAATTAAACTTTTTCCTGGTTCTCTTCCATGAGGGTGATTGGGAACAGGTTTCCGTCAAATCATATCACTTTGTTCTGGTGAGATATTGATGTTTTTTTTTATCAAAATCTGCCCTGCACAGCTGGAGTAACCCTTTATATATTCATCCCATTTTTCTGTTAGTTAATCATTCATCTACTTTTAGTATTTATTACCTTTTTCAATATTAAATTTCACGAGTCTTCTTCAAAAACTCGTGGCAAAATATTCAAAAACGATTAGCGACCTAGTTTTCTCTTTATTTGTGTTTTGATAAACCAGTAGCTCACAACAACTTGCACCAAACAGGCGTCAAGAACCAAACAAAGAAGGTGTATACCATTTCAATTTCTCGAGAGGTTTCAATCAACGCTATCATAACAATTTTCCTTCAAATCATATCTCCTTGTCCTTTTAAGATATCGATGTTGAGACACCCTATTTATTCAAAAAAGTATTTTATGACAATTTAGTACTGATGATCCGAACTTATCGTAGAGAACTAGGACTGGCATAAAAACAGCCCAAAATTACCCACCCAAAAAAACCAGCCCAAAAAACACTTTAAGAGTGGGTTTTAGGGTTTTATTTATTTATTTTTTTAATTTTTCTATTTTTAAGCCTAATTAATACTCTTTTAATGATACATTCTTCAAGAAATGAGGTCTACTATCATTGATATTGATTATTAGGTAGTTTGTATTACACAAACTGACACATATATTCTTAACTCTCACTTTAATCCTTTATTCTTGACTTTTCCATTTTAATCCTAATCCTTTATTCCTCCCCTTTACAGTCTAATCCTTTATTCTGTATCGTTTTGATTTTAAATATATATATATATGATTTGACGGACAACTGTTCCCAATCACCGTCATGGATGAGAACCAGGAACAAGTTTAATTTGCTACGCAAAGCCAAGTTGATGTCTAGTTTTTTTGCTCTGAAGTTATTCCGGTTTTCTGAAGTCATTTAGTTCTTCACGTTGTAATCATAGTTCAGCCATTTAGTTCTTCACGTTGTAGTTATAGTTCAGCCATTTAGTTCTTCACGTTGTAGTCATAGTTCAGCCATTTAGTTCTTCACGTTGTAGTCATAGTCAGCCATTTAGTTCTTCACGTTGTAGTCATAATTCAGCCATTTAGTTCTTCACGTTGTAGTCATAGTTCAGCCATTTAGTTCTTCACGTTGTAGTCATAATTCAGCCATTTAGTTTTTCACATTGTAGTCATAGTTTAGTCATTTAGTTCTTTACGTTGTAGTCATAGTTCAGCCATCTAGTTTTTCACGTTGTAGTCATAGTTCAACCATTTAGTTCTTCACGTTGTAGTCATAGTTCAGCCATTTAGTTCTCCACGTTGTAGTCATAGTCAGCCATTTAGTTCTTCACGTTGTAGCCATAGTTCAGCCATTTAGTTCTTCACGTTGTAGTCATAGTTTAGTCATTTAGTTCTTCACGTTGCAGTCAAAGTTTTTCCTACAATTAGTTTTTCACGTTGTAATTATAGTTTAGTCATTTTGTTCTTCACGTTGTAGTCGTAGTTTTTCTTACAATTAGTTTTTAACATTGTAGTCATAAATTTTCTTACAATTAGTTCTTCACGTTGTAATTATATTTTAGTCATTTAGCTCTTCATGCTGTACTCATTTTTTTACAATTAGTTCTCAACACAGTCGTCATTTATTTATTTTTTAGTTTTACAAACGTTTTGTAGGATAGTTTTTAGTTAATATTTACTTCCTATTTATTAAATTAACAAGATAACGGGAACCAGCATTCCAACATTTATTAAGTCTAAAACAGTTTAATAGTCTTACAAATAATAACTATGTCTATGATGTGCGTTATGTCTAACAGACGAAAAGTGGATTAGTCAAACGGAGTTGGATGCAACCCAAGCTAAGCCCAGTTTAGTCACTTACCACATTTTCAAATCACAATTCAGAGTCTCTAACGAATAAGACGATAATCTTACAGAATTTGTAAAATAATCTATTCTTGAATTGTACTTTATCAGCGAATAAATATTTATTACATGAAGGATTTACAGAAAATGTACAATTAAACAATATGAATTATTAAAACTTACCGAAACTACAGATATGTTTTACCTACACGAGTGTTGTAAAGCAGAAAGAATCTACAATTTACATGATTTGGTTGCGAGCTAATAAATTACAATTGCAAGAAACCTGAACTACAGCTTAATAGTCGTTAGCCCTGCATTAAAGAAATTAAGAGGGGAAATTGGGGCAAAATTACTTTCTCTAAATATAAATATTTTTTTTGTTCTAGGAAGAGTGGGAAGCCTGAAAAATGGCGTCGAATCAAAAATATAGTCTGCGCTGGAATGATTTCAGTGTTAATGTTGCGAGCACATTCCGTGATCTACATTCAAGACAGGTAAATACACATACTTTAATGTTCATACTTAATTTAATGTTCAAAAGAACTCTACTTGCACATTACCGTCAAGCTTTTACTATACGAGTAAACACAATTAAAAACATAGAATTCAAAACAGTCGAAAAATTAAATCGATAAAATGGAAGCATATAAACATGGCCCGCTTATAGATATGATTCTCTCTATCTGAACTGTTCTGAACCAGCGTACATGTAATGTTTTTGGATGGGCTTCACAGCTGATATAGCTAACTGTTAAGTGGGCCCTATATTTTTCAGATTAATTTTTAAATCTTTGCATGGTGTATGATAGAAGGGAAGTTCAGGGTCCAAAACAAAATGGAGAATTAGTAAGTGGTGGGCCCTGGAGGAAGATAAAACGAGATACTAAACTAATATCGTGTCAACATGAGATTGCCTCTGAAGACATTAGTAGCATTAAATGCTCCTTGTTTTGGGATTTCCCAAAGGGGGTCTCGGTCTGCCGTTTTTGTTTCTTAAGAATTGACTGAGATATTGAGAAATTTGTTTAAAATTTAAATTATTAAATAATACCAAAGTTTATAAAATCTTTAGTTTCTCCGACAGTTTCTTTGATACAAAGAAGGAGGCTACATTTTACCAAGTTTAAAAGACTTGTAATTTTCTTTTCTAACACGAAAATCGCAGAAAAAAATTTAATTCCAGGGTTCAATGTCAAATGTACTGCATGACACCCCAGCCCGTAAATTACATCAAAGCTTGTCTATTTTATATCCATGCATATAACAAACAATTTTATTGTGAAAATTAAAATAAAATTTTAGGTATAGGATAATTTTTATACTGATAAAACTATAAGTAAACGCAAATATATTGGTATTTTAGTAAACGATTGAAAAAAATGTTTTTAAGTATAGCAAACATACCTAGAACATATTTTCTGCTATTATATTACTTAAAATTTATTTTTAATTTTAACCCAACTATACAAATTCTTTGGCCCGCCTCAAATCTCATTAAATAAGCAATAATGCGTAATAGCGGTGCTTTATCTCTACCTATAGCTAAAGCACTAATGACGCTGAAAATGCGTAAGTAAACTCCCTCTGGCTTTCTAAATATATATACCTGTATACAGGATTATATATTAATCATGAAATTCAGTAATTAAGAAAGCGATCAAGTGTGTGCAAAAAAAGAAATTTCAATTAATGGTTTTTATGATTTAAGTTTACCCCTGAATAAAACCTGTATTTGAAGAATCCAAACTCCAAAGAAAATCCTTTTATACTTTATTTTTCACGTAACGAAACATCCTATATTTTTCTCTACTCTTTCAATGTACTTACGTTTGTACGTAAAAATGAGGAGGATGGTAAATAAACAACCCTTTACCGTTTTATCTTCATCTATTATTCAGATGTTCAGGGGCGTTTAATGCATTTCTCAACCTACCCGGCCGATTTTCTGTTTTCGATATATTTTTATGCCAATTTCGTGGGAAATATTGGGTAAATGAAGAATAAATTAAATTTTAAATCCTAAGTTTTGTTTTTATATATTTTCCTAAAAGCTTTAAGATTGTTTAATTCTGGAAAAACATATTTGGTAAAAACTGTCTCCCTTCAAGATGATTTTAAAAAATATGATTTTTTCCACTAAATATTTGACTCAATTCAATTTAGAGAAAATTTTGTTCAGGATTTTGTTGACGTAACTCTAGCTTGTGCCGACGGTTCAACCTTAGACGCCCACAAGGTTATATTGTCCTCTGTCTCAACATACTTCAGAGATATTCTAAAGGTAGGTTGATGTTGTTTTAGCTTCATCCTGGGTCAGGATCTTCGAGTTCTTCCAGTCCAAGGAAATTAGAGGCTTCTATAGGGTGGGTCCATAGGCTGGTAGTGGGAAGGCTGTTTGGATTTGCATGGCAATTAAAAAGGTGGTTTGTATCGTTAGGTTATGTGGTTTGACATTTGGGGCATTTATTTTCAATTTTTATCATCTAATCGGTTGAGGTAGGAATTAAGGAGTCTTGAGAATCCACTCTGAGTTGATCTCACTTGGTGGCGAGAATTGATCCATCTTGTTCTGAAATTCATATCCAAATCCAATATTTGCAAGTTTTTAGTAATCTGACGTTTCTCTTGGCCTAGCCTAGGATGCACAATGCACATTTATCCCTAAGTAACAGTAATCGAGTTGAACCATAAATATAAAACTATATTTTATGTATTCACTACTGTCTGGGGTTTACTTGTTTCCGCCAGTTAAAGCATTTATCAGACCAACTAGTTGTTTGTTTCTAGTCGACTGTTTTGAATCCACTGCAGATAATAATATTAGTGTAGAAAACAAGAGACAGGATTCGGATTTATTTTTTTACTTAACGCTTGTTGTACATTCATGTAGGATAACATTTAAAATCGTTTTATTTAAATCTTGGTCTTGCTAGCATTATTTCATATTTTTGACAGAACTAAATAATACTAAATACCAGACCTAAAGAGAGATTTATGTTTATGTATCTTCAGAATTTGTTTTGTAACACAATTAACATTATTAAATCATAATGATTAGACAAATGGTAGAAGCATTGGATAGTTAAAAAGGGCAATTTTTCTTGTTTATGGGTAAGGACGGAAACGAAACAATGCAATTGGACGCATTCGAAGTTCTATACAAATTTNGTGAGGGGGGTGGCAGATTTATTTCGGAACAAAAAAATCAGATTAGCACGGTGACGAAGAGAATATTACTGAAGAAAGATTTATAAATAAGCTTAGAGATCGAGATAATTGATAATTAATATATTTGACAATATCCTTATTTCCAGAATGCGCCGTGTAAGCATCCCATTATCATTCTTAAAGATACCTGTAGGGAGGAAGCAAGTGCAATGCTGGAGTTTGCTTACACTGGAGAGGTAACATTTTTTATATAACATTTTTACAGTTTTATTAATGATTAACTAGATTTGTTGGCAAGGTTTTGAACGGGAAAAGGTTTATTACGGTTAACACTGACTAAGGTCAGAAACGAGCCAAACGTTTTCTCCGTTTTTCCCATTACTCTGAACCCTAGCCAAACTTTTGCTAATGAATTTCAATCCTATAAACTCTGAACTAGAATTTTTACTCGCCAGTTCATATCGGACAGAGATTTAATATTTCCCTCCTACATCTGCTTCAGAGTCTGGTTGTATATGTGTTTCACGGCGGAACGTGAATTTACGACCACTATTATACTCCCAAAGTGGAGATCATGAATGTTTTCTGATACATAAAGATGAAAACTTTCCTCTAACAAATTTGCAAAGGAATTGATTACTAATCTGACATTTTAAGTACGAAAAACACAGCAGAATCGTTAAGTTTTTCTTATACGTCTTTGATATTTTTAACGAGCTAATTTGAATCAGTGTTTTTTAGTAAAGAACAGAGTATAATAAATAGGTCCTTTTCCTTCAATATAAAGAATCTACAAATTAATTAATTCAGCTTTCGAGAATTGCTAACTTTTTTCCTCAATAAGTCTTTAATCAACATCTGTACAAATTAGAACGTGACATGTGATCTTGATAGCAGGGGTAAATATGTTAAATCATCTTAACCCAAATGTTCAACACCAAGTAATTTGAAATAAATTAACTCGACATTCTTGGTCCTCCTTGGAAGATTCTTGTTTAACTAACCTCGCATTTAAATGATCTTTCAGTGCTCACACCCAAAGATTTTAATTGCTGCTTGCAGAACGGGTGGAAATATTCAAATTCATAAATTATATTTATATAAATTAAATTTCAACTGAAGTTAAAATATTGTACTAATAGACTTGATTAAGGTGAATGTCGGTCAAGATCTATTGCCTAGTCTACTCCATACAGCGAAGTGCTTTAAGATTAAAGGTTTAGACAACGTTCAAACCCCTCCTGGGCTCTTAGATCTTAATGTAAGTATTCATACTGACAGCAAATATATTTTACTAGGACTTCATACTGACAGCAACGCATATTTTTACCTTGCGGGCCCCTTCTCTGATAAAAGGTTTAGCTGTTAAGCGATGCTCTCCAAGCTGCCAATTTTCTTTGTAAATGGAATTTTCGGCTTTTTCAGAGCTGGGAACTCTTTTATTGTGGATATTGAGATCTACGCTTAATAATGCGTTTTTTTTTAATCTGAAGATTAATTTAATCTTATTCGGTATCCCGCATGGTAATCGTATTCAGTCAGGGGCTGAAGTGGTGGAATAATTAAAATTAAGTATTCAAAAATATTTTCTTGTATTGCGCATGCGCCTTTGGAGGTGAATGATCAATTGCAATTAATGAAGTTAACATTGATTTACTGTCAAAAAGTCGCATTTTTCACAAAAAGCGCGCGCACGCGCACACTTTTGCTCAGATTCCTTAAAAACCAAAAAATGCATGTAATATACATAATTCTGAGTTTGCAAGCAAAAAATCAGCCTCCTACGACAATTCTAAGTTATGTTTAAACAATGTTTAAACTTTCCGGAGAGTAATACGTTTCATGCCCCCCCCCCCTTGATATATTTTATAACTTAAAGAAGAAAAAAATTCCTTAATCAAGATTACGTCTGCCAATACCATAATTAGATAAAGAGAATTTTTCAGAGTAAAGTTTCCCATTTTGACGGCATGATGCTACATATTAAACTAGACTAAGAGAGAGAAGTCACTGCAAAATTTAAAAATCTTTATTTAAGAGCATTTCCTAAAACACAGAAATCAAATAGAATATTCCTGAACTTTAATTTTTTATATTTTTTATTTTTTATTTTTTATTTAGACAAGTCACTCCAATGATCACGAGTCTGAACACTGGGGAGGAAGTCGACCTCCTACTCGGCCACACACTCCTTCTACTCGCCCTCACACTCCTCAGACTAGATCACACACTCCTTCTACTCGGCCACACACGCCACAATCCCATCCGCACTCTCCCAATTCCGTCCATTCCTCCCAGGATAGACATGCCCCAGATCAAACACAGGACGTTAAACCATTCCTTGACTATAATTCCGACATTAAACCATTTAGCGACCATTTTTTAGTCGGAGGCCCGGGGTCTGCCCGGGCACCAGGCAGCCTACCCTCAACCCGACCCTCAACACCCAGCAGACCATCTTCTCCAACACACAGTTCCAGAACCCCGCCGCACAAACGATGGAAACGATCTTTCGACATGTCCCGAGGTGATGAGTGCGACGAAAGTGGATTGACACAGAATTCTAACGACTTTGGAGAACCCGAGGCTAAAAGATTTTGTGACGCCAAGAGGTTCAGCACCGATAGCGAGAGACAATTTATGGAAGCGGATTCGAATACGCGTCGATTTGCGGAGCCGAGACCGATACCCCACAGCATGCCAGCCAGTCCCACTATGCTTGATCATAGGTAATTAATTGAAATTAGTCGGCCATGGATATAAAGAAATTATTGGCGATATAAAAAAAACAAATTAATAGCACGCAAAACGGTAAGTCCTTAGGTGCTCCTACCAAAAATGTTATATTTTAAATGGACAATATTTTAATTTTTAACAATTCTTGTATGAAAAGAAAGATTGTTAAACATTTAAATTACCACCCGATGCAGTCTAAACTTGACACTTTGTGTAAACTGAACCCAGACTAGATTGTTATATTAAGGTTGTTTTAAAATATATCTCCTTTTTTTTGTAGAAAAAAAATTAATCACCCCTCTGATTGAAAGTCTTGTATAATGCAAGAAGATGAGTAAATCCTCCGAGCTAAGATTGATTTTAACTCCCGGATAAAGAGTACGGAGGCTGGAGCTTCTGTTTTTAAATATCGATCCATTACAAAAATAATTTTCCCTCGAATTTTTCCCTTTCATGAGATTTCTGGAATAGTTTGCGATACCGACAGGACGATATCCTTTATAGAGTTAGGAAGACGAAATTTCTCATCGAGCTCATTTTACATCCCTTGAATTTCTTTTGTCTTCCCCGTTTTGAGTTGAATGTAACTATTAACGATTTTTTATGATAACGACTTATTTGCAAAGATGTAAAAATAAATGCAGAGAGTGGAAAAGGATAACTCGTTAACAAATAAATTGAATCAATAAACAATATTATGTTATGAAATCAGGTTTTAAATCATTCTGACCTGTTCAGGAACTTCAGTTCTCTCGGTCTCTTGCGGCATCTTGCCAGATTAGAAGAACCAAGGGAAGCTCATGAAAACAGCAGAATTGATCATAATAACAGGTAACTGTCTGTTGGATTTCTGTAAAGCCGTCCAACCGGCCAAACAGTTCAATCCAAGGAAGAAACACCCGGAACCCCTTAAACTAAATTAATTTTTTGTTTTTTTCCCCACAAAATTGAAGCATCGATTTGAGATACCTTGTGTATTTTCCTTGGTTGAGGCTAGTATATCAGAGTCCCCTTAGTGTTTATTGCCGTGCTTAGGATCCATTTAATTTTTGGAAAAAAAAATAATCCGGATCCAGGTCATTTCTCAAAGATTTACTGCATTTAAAAAAAATCAAATTTTTTGTTTTATTTTTTCGCTTATTTTTCTCCTAAAACTTGATGAACCATTCAGAAGTCAGCATTTTTTTCAAAAGTTCAGTTTTGGATTTTAGGAGTAATTAAGTTTTTTTTTGCAGTTTTTCGTTGATATTTACTCCTTGGATCCGGATCCAGGAAGCCAAAATCTTGCGGATCAAACGTATCCGGATCCTAAGCACTGGTTTATTGCAAAACTAGAATCTTAACATTTCATACGTGTAAATAAATTAGGCGACAGGTGAACATATTGTTCCCTCGCCCCTTCAGAAATATTTTTCTCCAGTAAGTAAGAAAACAAGATATTCACAAGTTCACTAAATATAATATATTAGCTTGAGTACCCTTGCGTTGCCCATGTATATATTATTATTATTGGTCAATGTTAATCCCGCAGTTTACTTTTGCTTGGTTTTAATATTAATATTGCGTAGTCTTTATCAAAACAATTTTTTTCTCAGGAAATTCTTACACATGGAGTTTTTCCAATATTTTGGAATATTGTTTTAATTTTTTCAATTTTCATATGGTACCACAAAAAAAATCCGTGAACTTAATCCTTCTTAATTCTTCTCAAAATCAAATGTGAAGAAAAGAAAAAATGTGTTAATGTATAATTTCTATTTAATCCTAATATTTCATAAAAGTAGACTCATGGAAATGGAGAAAAGTCGTAAAATAGTATCAGGAAAATTCACAATTTAGTTCTAGTGTATACCTGTCCACGCAGGGCTATCAATAAATAGATCTAAGAATTAGAGCGGTAATAATGTCACTAAAAGAATAGAGGATATTTTAATTAATGTGTTAACTGTGTTGTTTTTATGTTAAAGTGAATAATAAATCGGATCTATTTCAGTAAAATGTTGGGATTCTTATCAATACATCTCTCAATTGGCCAGACCGATTCTAATGAAATTCTAGGATTGGATAGCAATCATATCACACTTTTCGTGGATTTTTTTGGTGGTACCTGTGAGTTTCAAACAGATACAGACAATATTCCAAAATATTGCAAAATACCAAAAATATAAATTTTATGGAAAAAAAATAAGTTCTGAAGAAGACCACGCTAATCACAATTTTTTTGTATATAACCGAAAAGCTTTATTATATAGTTTAATAATATCTAGGTTGGAGGAGTCGATTGAGCAGGATGCTCTTGATTACCGGTTTCAAGTTGCAAATCAAACCGAGGTAAGGAGACCTAACTCCAAGCCAAAAGCGTTTAGATTTAAAATTTGGTGTCTTAAAATTTTCTGTAATTTTTACTACATTTGTCAACAATAAAAAAAGAATGTGGGGTTTGAAGATTTTTTTCTCTGTAGATTTTTATTAATAAAATTATTTTTGTCTAAATCATGAAGCTGAACAGATTTCATTTTGGGGACCGACTGTAGTTTTGACAGGGGATAAACATTAAAATATTGTTTTTTTACTGAAGATAGACCTAATGGTAGAAGATATGACACGAGGAAATTTTGTTATTTGTTTGTACTCTGCGTACACTTGTATATGACGTCATAGGCCACGCTTGATTTTGAAATAAACAATCTGAATCAACATTTAAACAAAACTAATAATGTAAAGAAAAAATTCTTTGTCTATACATTTTTTTATGCTGTATAATCAAGCCAAATACTAAAATTGGGATTTTGTTGCGCATCTCATTTGTTTGAAAAATATCAAATATTTTAATTAACTTTTTTCAGATTTTATTAGTATAATTTTTCGTAAGGTGAATAGATCCAAAGAATATCATTGCTGAATTGCTAATAGCAAAAAAAACCTTTCAAATTAATGATATTTGTTTTAGGTCGAGCTTGAGAAGGAGAAGGCTCGGCACGAAAGGTTGGCCTTTAGACCTGAATCCGCTCCAACAGTTTTAGACATGTCCCCGGACACAGGCAGCAGACACAGTATTGACGGTATTCATAAACAAGGTAGAGTTAACAAGGACAGTTGATCCTGTGTTCTCTCCCGAGATGATTTTTATGATTTAGGGGGGGGGGGGGGGGAATTAAAAATTAGGCATCAAAGGCAAGTTTTTTTCTCCTTTTGGTACTTTTTTTTGGGAAAAATGTAATTTTAAGGGGGGAGGGGGATAGTTTTGCAAGAAAATATACACCCCTGGTTAACTATCTATTTATTTTGACCAATGCAGAACTGGACACTTAAGTACTTATTTTGTGTTTTCTCTAATTTCTGTTTCCGTTCGGATTTCGTCAAGAAAATATATTTTATATTTAATTCTCCAAGTTGTAAAGTGATTCTCACAATGTTAGAAAGTTAGACCAAATTCTATAGTAAACTTTTTCGAGAGACTCGCCTTGATATAGATATGCTAAAGATGAAATGAATCCTTAGCACTGCTTTAGTGAGTGACCACAGGCCTGAGATTGACTTTTCCTTATTTTTTCTAGTTTCACACATTTTCTCCGACTTTCCTTTTCTGAAAGTGTGAGGGGTAGCCGGCTTATAGCCCGGCGTAATCCTAGCGTATCTGACCGGCTAAACCTGGTCACTCGGACGCATACAGAGTACAAACACATCACAGAGACACGTACTTCTTGGAGGAGGAAATTAAAGAGTATATTTAAGACCGGGCACACTCTTATTAACACGACATGTATGTTGTCTTGGATTTTATGAATAATAGAGGGTACATAGCAAGGAATGTTGCCAAACTTGAAAGAAGTATTTATTTATTCGTTGTGTCCTGTCCTGTTAATTAATCTAAGCAAACAAAAAATACAAAATTTTAATGAATCAAACTCGTTTGGTCCCGTTCTCTTAGAAAATACTGTTAAAAACTTTACAACCATCCAAAAAATACAAAATTTTAATGAATCAAGCTCGTTGGATCCCGTTCTCTCAGAAAATACTGTTAAAAACTTTACAACCATCCAAAAAATACAAAATTTTAATGAATCAAGCTCGTTGGGTCCCGTTCTCTCAGAAAATACTGTTAAAAACTTTACAACCATCCAAAAAATACAAAATTTTAATGAATCAAGCTCGTTGGAGAAAATACTGTTAAAAACTTTACAACCATCCAAAAAATACAAAATTTTAATGAATAAAGCTCGTTGGATCCCGTTCTCTCAGAAAATACTGTTAAAAACTTTACAACTTAAAAAAAATTGCGGTCACATGCTTATTACTAAATTATTTTAAGGAAGCATAAAATGCTGTTATTAGAGCTTCAAGTGTCCTAATCAGTATCCTTCTTGAACGAAATCTTAGTTACGAGTTGCGAAATGGCCACGCATTCTATTTTTGAGATAATCTGACAGACAACTGAAATGACATGGTTGATTTTTTTCCGGATATTTTATACCCACACCTCGTTCAATAAACAAGCTTTCACCTGTTCATAATCAAACCTAAGGCTTGTGTGCTCTGAAGGGTATTTCACTTGAAGTTTGTCTGTATTAGGAGATCCGAGGTTCGGGTTAGAATCCCTCTTAATACTAATTTAACTTCAAGATGAACTACATAGGCTTATTATCCTTTCTTATTTTTATTTTTCCCTTACTCAATGTTGTCACAAGATTATAAGATATCTATATAAACGTGTTTAAGAGGGACGCTTCTGATAAAATTAATTAAATATCTTTAAAGTTTTACTGTATCTGTATCTGTGCGAGGTTTTAGGGTCGGCCTAGTCGGTTAGTAACAGCTCTGTAAATGTAGTCGTCAAGAAGTCTAGGTTGTGCTATCTATGCAGTGATATAACTCATCATTGTTGTCAACCCGGAATCCAATCCTCCCCAATCCGCCTCTCCTTATCTTAAACATAATAAATAAATGTGTTCAAACATGTAATTCAATTATTCTTCCCGATTCAATAATCTCCTTTTAAATTTAGGCGTTTAATGACCCTGAAGCTAAGAGGGATTTCGTTTACTAATTTTTCATTTCAACATATATACTTATTTTTTTCTAGAAGCATTTATTTGCAGTTAACTTTAAACTTGACTTAAAATTAAATGTTGACTTATCTGTCTACAAGGAAAACTTATCTTAAGTCATTGAAACAAATTTAATCTTTTATTCCGTTATTAACAGCACTTCTTCCTGTTGGCGTCAAACTGTAACTAAACGTTAATTGTAGAGCACGACGAGAGATTGGTACATTTCCGGAACATAGTGGTTGGGAACATACAACCAGTATCATCCCTCTCAGATAATTTATCAGGTAGTTAACATTACGTAGATGAAAAAATATATGTATTTTGTAGTTATGTAGTAATGTATTATTTCATATTGTTTAACGTCGTATAAATACGAAATCTATTGCTTACCCGTACATTAATCAATGTTGTGTATTGTAGACTGTTTAAACAAGAGCATGATGGGAGGAGGCTCAGGAAGATATAGTTGTGACGAGTGTGGTAAACTTTTCAGGCATCCAGGCAGTCTTCAACACCACAGGCATATTCACAGGGGCACTCATAGATGCCCTTCATGTGGAAAGGTGAAATAAAACATAATTCAAAAAATTTAGGGCGATGACCTAAAAACATTGGGGATTGGAAAATGTTAACCAAGAAATTTTACTTTTTTAAGATATAAAATTCTGGAAAACATACTCCTGATATTTAAAGTTAATAAGTAAAGACTATAGATAGATACTGCCTGTTTTAATGCCAGGTTCACAACGCGTCGGTACCCTTAAAACATATCTGATTGATAATGTGGAAGATATTGTCGTTTTTCTAGGTTTAAAAGTGTTTAAATCTGATAATTGAATTTTACATGTTTCAGAAGAAACTGTATGGAAACCTTCACTGATAATTACCAGTTTACCAAATTATATATATTCTTTGATATAATAAAACTTGATCAAACAAAGCTTTTAAGGACACCATTGTGAATCGAGCAGTGCCATCTCTGCTCGGAGGGTCACTTGAAATCACACTTAACAGTCTGTTTTTTGTTTCAGGCTTTTTCTCGGCGCTGGGATATGGAGCGCCATCTTAACAAATCTAAATATGGTTGCCCAGCAAACAGATTCTCTAGCCCAGGGAGCCAGGAACCTGAAAGTCCCAATGAACATTCTCTTCTACCTAGCCCCTCCCACCACTCTATGATAAATAATAGTTCTAGCCAGCACTCTCTTCTAGCTATCCTACCACACTCACACCAGCAACTCAACACAAACTAATTAGGTAAATTATACTATCAACAGACTATTTGTCTTAAACCCTTTTTTATATTCTTTTCATTTTGGAAACCTGATTGTGTAAACCTATGACATAATTTGAATTTTGAGGTAACGTACTTCTACGAAAAAGAAACATATTTAGATAAGTAAGAACTTTTGATCAGGGGTGTACTGTATATTTTCTTTTAATATCAAACTCGCATTTTGACTTTTGAGGTTAATTCTCAATTATAAATCCATGCTTTTGACTCTGAATTATTTTTTTTAGGCAGTAATGATCAGATAAGAACATTGCACCACCCCAGTTTTCTTTATCCAGCATTAAGAATATATTGTGTGGCATTTTTCAAGAAAATGATAGTGAACAGCACTTCTTGGAGGCTGATATAGCTCTAAAATGCTAGTTTGTTCTAGACCTAGAAAACTAAGACCAGTGACACTGGATGTTGATCCTGTTTCTTTTCTATCTTATTTGTCAGGAGTAAATTCATTGGAGAGAACTTTTTTCTTTTGTAGCTGCTGTGATTTTACACGGCTCCCTGATATATATCTAGTGAAGTTAACTTCACTTTGTAACCATTACTTTATATTCAATTTACGCAGGCATTAGATAAAAATGTTATAGACTATTGTTTCAATTTAGAATTTTCAATTGTTTCCGAATGTTACCTCTAAAAAATTTATGTATAATAGACCTTAAAACTGTGTAATCGTTTGTAAATCGTAGGTCGAATATAATCTATTAGAAGTTGAAAAAAAAAACACAATTTTGTCTTTCTTAATGTATTCTCAGACCATGGTTGAATACTACCCAGGTTTTCGGTTATTCTATGTTAGAGGCATTACCCTTAATATTTATCTGATAGTTTTTCACAAAAATTGTAAATTCTAAGATAAAACCGTAGGTATTGACGGTTTAGGACGGTGTGAACCTTCATATTCGTTATATCTGGGCTTAATTGTATTCTTCTTATAATCAGTATTCAAATATGTAAATATCTTAAAATTATAAAGATCAATTTTATAACTGGTGAAAATACGAGACCTGGGCCAGCCTGTAAGATCTTGTGTTAAAACTAAAAGTATAACCAATTTGCGTATTTTTCTAATAGATTTTCTGCATTCAGTTTTTGTTTTGAATATAATTGAATATTTATTTGTCGTTGTTTTGCAAACTTAGATGTCCCCCCCCCCCCTTCTAAGCATATTAACATATTTTATTGAGAATCAGTTTTTAAAACTAGTGATAATCTAGTATGTTTGTTTTTTTGTGCTGTCTTCAATAAATACCTTCTAAACTTTTTGGTAAATTTGATTAGTTGCACGTATGATTCTGATCCACTTACCTTTGTTAACTGGAGCCATTAATAAGTTTAATCATAGAGCTTGGTAATATAAAAGCGTAGGCATTAGGATCTCTACGCAAAACCAGACGCTTTATTTGGTTAATTAAGAAGCCACAGAATGTGGTCTTCTCTATAATTTTAAAAGATGTTAGGCATACATCTCGGCAAGAACTTGTTTTCTTACGTAATTAATTTCCGACCTCTTTTAGCACCTACATAGCGTCCCATATCATATTAGATTATCTCCAATCTTTAACACCAAAATAAACCCTTAATACTCGAAAAACTTATCATTTTCCGCAAGAAAATTCTTATATAAGCCTTATGTTATTTTTCAAAATGATTCATTCTAATGAAATTTTCTAATTAGTCCCGAAAATCGTAATTTAGACCCGTTCTCGGTCTAATATGATGTGGGACACCCTGTACATATGAAAAATTTGTTAGATAATTTGTTTTAATGTTGATTGCTTGAATTCAAAACCAATACTGCAGCTGATAACGTAATGTACAAGTGTACGGAGTGTACGTTCACACTTCGGATAAATTCCTAATGCCATATCTTCTATTGGATGAATTGGACTTTGAGTTAAATTAGTTTAGTAACCAACAAAGAATCCGACATTAATGACTACAAGGAATTAAAATTATAACTATGTGTCTTCTGAGCCCACAAAGTTTATAAATGGTACAGGGTGTCCCACGAAACATGACAGTATGCAGGACGACTTGAATGTCGTCTTGATTTTTGATATAATTTGCTGCGTTTATTTGTCAATCTAATTTTAGAAGTAAATTTCTAGAGATAATAATCACAAAATTTCCCTTGTCCTGCCATTTCCAAAATGTGGTCTGCCTTTTTTGTGCTTTCAATATTGCTCGAGATATGAAGAATTTCGTTCAGATTTCGACAATTTTGCTTTTATTTAACAAAATTGAAATCTGAACCAAACTCTTTATATCTCCGGTAATATTGAAAGCACAAAAAACGCAGACCACTTTTTGGAAATGCCAGGGCTAGGAGAATTATGTCATAATTGTTTCCAGAATCATACATGTTAAAGTAGATAGAAGACTAAATGTCACAAATAAATTCAAATACCAAAGACGACTTTCAAGTCGTCTTCCTATTGTCATGTTTCGTGGGACACCCTGTATGTTAAAGTGATTTGACAAGAAAGAATTATGTTAAAGATGAGTTTAAGGAGAAAGGTTTCGTTAATTCCGTTCAGACGTCTCTGAAGTCTCATCCTTTGTGGGTAACCTTTAACCAACACGTTCAGGGAGTGTAGAAACATTTGTTTATACAGAAACTTAATGAACCATTCAGAGATAAAGAAGTTTTTATTAATAATTAGTTTACAATTGATATTTGTGTGTGAGCAACAAATTTTTATAGTTGATCCCTCGTGGATCCGTATACGTACTTGTAATGTATAGTTGATCCCTCGCGGATCCGTATACGTACTTTCGTGGATCCGTATACGTACTTGTAATGTATAGTTGATCCCTCGTGGATCCGTATACGTACTTTTAATGTATAGTTGATCCCTCGTGGATCCGTAAACGTACTTGTAATGTATAGTTGATCCCTCGTGGATCCGTATACGTACTTGTAATGTATAGTTGATCCCTCGTGGATCCGTATACGTACTTGTAATGTATAGTTTGACTGAAAAGTTAATACATGGAATTTTTTTACAAAACACGCATGAATTCTTAGATACTTAGTTGCCAACAGCATTGAAGCTAGATATGTTGTATATATATTTAGTATTTACTGACCCAAAAGTTAATATATGCAAAGATTAAAACTTTAAAAAATGCAATTACCCAAAACTGAAATAATCAAATCACATCTGTCAACTGACCCATATTTATCAAAGTCTTAACTGTTTTCAGGTTGCTAAATGGCCAATTATCAGAAGTAACAGACAACAATAGCAATTATATTGTTCTTCTCTGGAAAGGCTCCTCAGACCCAAGTTGACCCCTGTATTAGTAGGCAAAAAGATTCCACGGGAGCTTCTGAAGATGTATTCTGTAAAGATTCCGATGCCCTGCAGCAAACCCCACGTTGTTCAATCTCCTCAGTCTGTAGGAGCCATCCATTACAAATTATAAGTTTTTTTCAGAATTAAATTGTATTAAAGGGTTTCTAGGGAATGATTAAGTAAACCTATAGTTCGGCATTCATAAATACCAAATGAGTAGAAAATTATTATTAGTAGACCTTCTAAAATTTATCTTCAGACGTTTCTTTAGCTTGCCGGACACTTCTTATACATTGGAATGGAAAGGGGTTCAAAGTAGTATTTTTCGAGCATTTTCCGAAAAAAAAACCATCAGTGAGTCGACTGACAGGTTGGACCTCAATTCTTTATTATACATTCTCTCAGCTATATCCCAGCTTCAGCTCTCTTGAGTCTGGACAAATTAGTGAAATTATGGATGATTAATGATTATTGATCACGAAAAAACCAGTTTTTAAGACATCATGCATCCCTGCAATAATTCCAAAGGAATAATTCTACAGAAAACTAATAAGTTGTTCAGGATGTCATCGAAAATAAGTAATTCAGTTATCGGTTTCCGTAATTTCCTGGAGTTTGTATTGAAAAGACGACATTTGAAGAAAGCTGCGAACAAAGGAATTGAGCCTTTGCCACAAACTTTGGTTTTTAATCCCTTTAACTTTGCAATCCAATGTCGCAAACCTTAGATATTTCAAACTATGAATTATGTTAAATCAAATAATCTAAGTTTGAAATATTAAAGATTTTCATCAATAGCAAGTAAAGATATATAATAATTAGAAAATGAAAGATTGAATTTGCGCTCTTGGTGAACAATTATACACCGTAAAAACGTCTCATAGGTCTCAAATGAATCCTGAAAAATACATTTACAATACAGCACCCTCAGCTCAACTTCAATGCAGTAGCGCACACAGGGGGGGGGGCAGTAGTCCTCTTGCCCCCCCTGGGATTTTTGGGGAAAGGTAAAAATGAGGTGTTCTGGGTAAAAATGAACCTGCCCTCATCATCAAAGGAGTGTTTTCCCCCTTAAAAAGTATAGTTGAAAATTTTCTTGGCTCTTCGCGCCATTTATTTTCAAAATTTACCTTAATTTCCCTTTTATCTAAAATCTCCACCCTACTGCATACTTAATAAACAACTATAGAGAGCTATATGCATTATGCACAGACGCGTACACAGGGGAAACAGTAGTCCTCGTGCCCCCCCCCCTGGGATTTATCAGCAAAGGTAAAAATCAGGTGTTCTGGTTAATAAAAAAGATCTTGCCCTCATCATCAAAGGGGTGTTTTCCCCCTTAAAAAGTATAGTTGAAAATTTTCTTGGTGCTTTGCGCCATTTATTTTCAAATTTTACCGTAGTATTTCCCTTTTATCTAAAATCTACACCCCCCCCCCCCGCATACTTAATAAACAACTATAGCATGCATTATGCAAGCGTTTGGCATGTTTTCCCGAAAATACTGAAGGATACATTTAAATATATAGTCCGTGGACTTCAAAACTTGCCCCCCCTGGCTTAATCCCTGTGTACGCGCCTGCTACCATGGTCACCATGGTATAGCCGGTTTCTCCCTTAAAGGCAGTGTTAAGCCAGTTATCTCAGATCAATTAATTATCAGAGCAGAAGAGGCTAGTTATAAGGATCTGGAGGAGAAGAATAGGAATAAAAGCAGATCTCCTTGATTTTGCGGAGTTCCATGGGGATAAATATTAGGCAACATTTTATTTTTAATTCTCATAAATGACCTCCCGAATTCGTCACAATTGTTTGCCTTCAGTTAGGCCGGCACACAACCTGCTTTCCTAATGCAAAAAGAGCTTCACATTATGATCCCCTTTTCTTTAAGTAAGTAATTATTTATTTATGAAATATAACAAAAACATACAAAATTAAGTGTTAAAAGAGAAAATATCTAAAAACCTCCCAAAATAGAGGTTGTGGGAATATTTTCTCCCGATTCAAAAAAAATATAAAGAATTGAAATCAAAGGAAAAGTAAAGTTACATATTTATTCAGGCGCGTAAATAATTTACCTAGAATTTTTTACCCCTAGAAAAATATCATGGTGTATATTAAATTATTGGTTTTAGTTGGGTTTGATTTGCATTTTCCACTCATTTCTGGGATTTACAAACTCAATCTAATAAAGGCTTCATTACATACCTTTCAGCTTTCACCTTGATTTATACCCTTCATTATAGTCATTCATTTTACATTAACTACAAAGATCTGTAAAAAAACTGAATTTATTTTAAGTAACATAAAAATAGTTTTACTCTAAGAGGAAAAATATGTTACCTTTTTAAATCTTTAGAAAAGCTACTCTGCAAAACTTTGAACAAATATTGTCTTTGTTTATATTCTAATTTCTAATTTCTAACATTTTCTTGTCGTCAATGTAGTATGTTAAGATCATAAATAAAACTAATATGGAAATTACATTATTTAGAAGTACAAATGTATTCTTCATTGCCCATACCCTTTTTTTCTATTAAAAAACATCTAATTGTAATGACATTGACAATTACTTTAGAATTTATAAGAATCATTTAGAATATGTTGACTTAAAATCTGAAATATCTGAAGTATCTGCACATTTAAATTATTTTCGCGCAAATTCTAAAGTTATTCAATTTTAAAATCAACCTTTTTTTAAAAACAAAAACAATGTAACAACTCTTTCCTCCATGAAAAAGCCGTCTTTTTAAGAATATCTTCAGGTTTTATTGTTTTCACTCTACTAGGAAGGGAGATGCAGGATTCTAGGGGAGGGGGGGGTAATTACCCCCAGGATTCTAGGGGGGGGGTAAATAACCCTAATAAGCCCCCCTATTAACGCCACTGTATTTATTGTTTACATTATATTTAATATAAACTGGTGGAGGATTGTTAGTATTTTTCGACGATGAACTAACAGCTTTTAGAAAAAAAATGATAGATTCATTTGTAATTTTTAAAAAAAATTTAAATAAGCTTTATGAGTTGTGAAAAGATATAGATTCTACGCAAAACGGGCATTTTCAGGCATCTTTTTAATTCGCGCCGTTTTTTGACATCCTTTTTAATCTTTTTAGTCTTTTCTTTATAAAATCGTCTTTGCTTTCTTCAATTCTTTTGCAATCATAGCATGTGTTAGAATTAAAACATTTGTTCTGCTGATAAAAATCTTCAATAAAATTCTGTTTAAAAGGAATTGAGTCTTTGCCACAAACTCTGATTTTCTAGTCACCGTATCTTTGGAACCAAATGTTGCAGACCTTAGATATTTCAAACTGTGAATTCTGTTAGATAAAATAATCTGAGTTTGAAATATCAAAGGTTTACAACATCGGGTTCTAAAGATATTGAGGTTTAACTATTTGATTTTGTTCCAAAGACTCAATTCCTTTGGAAGATGATTGATATTTGAAAGCTTAGAAAAGTGTCGTTTATTTTCATACCATATTTTAGGGAAATTGTAAAGAGGAAGCAGTTCGATTTTAATAGATTTTTCTCAAAGCAAATATTAATATATATTTATGTCATTGTAATGGGTATTATTAAGTGCGAAAAAGTTTTTGTCGGGATTTTTACTTTTTCTAGTTTGTTTGAGATTAAAATGAGGTGTTTTTGCACGCATAATACTCATTACAATGGCATATATAATTTTATTCAATTTTACTCAACTTAATTAATATGTTTAGAAACTATACAATATATACATATGCATATATAACAATGTTAATACTGCTGTTTTGACTTAAATGTTGAAAATATAAAAATGATTAATCTTATTAGGTAAGAAATTATCATTTTTAACTGGTTAAAGTTTGAGATAATGAAAGAAAATTCTAAAAATGCGTTAAAATTTTACCCAAAAATCCACAAAACTAGGTAAAAATCCTCTATCTTGTCAGTACTTCAAAAGCATTGATCAAAGGTGTACGTGGTAATCATTGTCCCTTTTAACAAAAAGCTCAAGCTCATCAATAATTTGGAGCACATACAAAACGTATCGTCGCAAAACTTATCACCACAAAACATATCTTTTTAAAACTTATCAAAACAAAACTTATCTAGCAACAAAACTTATCAAAACAAAACTTATCATCACAAAACTTTTCAAACTACAAAACTCATTAACCTTAAAAACATATCAAACTCAAAACTTATTAAAATAACTACAAAATTAATTTTTTAAAACATTTTTAAACGTTGTACAACTGAAACATGACTCAGAATTTATATATATAAATCATTTTTCATCTGTAAAAAGGCTGGTAATATTGAAATGTGTTCAACAGGAAGGTCACCAGGGTCTTGTCCTTGTTCTCTCTGTACTTGTTGTACAGCTGGTTTTCATCATCCTTATGTAAGTTTGTACCCTTCTGAGAGAGAACAAAGTTAGCCTCCATCTCGGATAAATGGGCTGGGAAACTGCGAGTTTACCGATTTTTTTTTGGAAAATTCGCGGATTTTTAAACATTTGTTGGAACATTTCTATGATTTGAAATTTAAGATTCATGAATTTTGTTGATAAGTTTTGAGTTTGATACGTTTTGTAGTTTGATAAGTTTTGTAGTTGATACGTTTTGTAGTTTGATAAGTTTTGTAGTTTGATAAGTTTTGTAGTTTGATAAGTTTTGTGATGATAAGTTTTGTCTCAGATAAGATTTTTTTGATATGTTTTGTGGTGATAAGTTTTGTCTCAGATAAGTTTAGTAACGGTATGTTTTGTATGGGCTCCAATATGTCAACTCCTATCATCCTCCCCGACTCGGAGTCTCTCATCCAGATAAAGTAGGCTAGCAGAAAAAACTATTTAAGAGCGTTTGGACAGCTGCGGAAGTTTGTTGGTGAAGATTTCTCACCACCTGAAGAAGAATTTCTCCAATATTTCAAGCACCTCAGAGAAGATAAAAAAAATGGCATCTTCTAGCCTATGGACAACATATTCCATGATAAATCGAATGTGCAAAGGAAAATTTTCCTGCAACTTGAAAGCAGTGCTGCCGGGTTACCAGTCTAATCAAGAGCTTCGATATTGATGTAAAAACTAAAGCCTGTTTATTCTCCGCTATGGATATAAACAAGTTTGTACTGGGTCCTGAGATATCGTCCCCTTATTGGCTTGTGCGGAAGGCTACTGTTTATCTCACCTATTATGAAGGTCTCCAACATGTAGAGACATGAACTTGAAAATAGAGATATGCGAGTCTACTCCAGCTGGTGTGTATGTGACCCATATGCGAGTCTACTCCAGCTTGTGTGTATGTGACCCATATGCGAGTCTACTCCAGCTGGTGTGTATGTGACCCATATGCGAGCAAAGCAGCGAAGTGACAAGAGAAATTCAAGGTAAAAGAAAACCTTTGTCTTTAGAAGAAAATTTTTTTATATAAATATAACAGAAAACTCAGGAGGGCCAAGTTTGATTACATTTTTCATGTAAAAAACCTACAAAAATGATATATATGTGCACATGGGGATATGACATGAACACATTTATTTTCTAATTTAATTAGTTTTTTATATATGTAATATATGTAATATGTATGTATGTATAGTAATCTCAGGTTCCTGATTCCCCGGAAGACTGGAGAAGTTAGTGCTGCAGACGTCCTGGACCTCTACCTGAGGCAAGTCAAGGGGGATTTGGGTCTTTACACTGGGCGCCTTTTGTGGAGAGGAAATGGGATCTCATTCACCAAAACTCCTCTGGAAAAGAATATGGTCGGAGAAGTGCCTTCTGATATGGCTACACATCTCCATATTAATGAGCCAAAAAAAGTATACATTCCATAGCTACAGGAGGTCGGCTGCTACAGCTGTAGCAGATGCCGGAGCTACATCTGACCAAATGCAAGACTTTTTTGGTGCCAAAATGACCACCAGCAAAGCAGCCATTATCAAGGTCACCCAGAAGCTCCAGGATACTGAGACAAAGGACAACCTTGGCCATGTGAATGTTGCTGAGAAAGCCTGCAAGGAGAGTTCAAAGCTTGCAATGAGAGTGCAGAGGTCGCCCAAGAGAGTCAGGTTAGCGACTTTGGGGAACTCTGGGATTATTGGAACCCAACTGGAGAGGAGGTGAGCGGAGCAACCTCAGCTTATAGGGCTCCTATGAAGAGAGTCTGGAGCTAAAGTTTTCTACATAAACAAAATCGAAAACTTCCATTGCTAAATGTAAACCATGTGTTTTCTCTGTCAATACACAATAAACATATTAAATGAAATTTTAAAAGCAGGGTGATTAAGTTACTTTTTTGCCCTGTTGTAGGGCGATAAAGTAACTTTTTCGCCCTACAACGGGAAATATTAGGTGTGAAAAATTCTCTCAAAATTGAATAAAAATCCTTTTCTGTTTCTAAAATTTGCGTTTTTGATATTTTATGATAATGTGAAATCTATTTCAAATGTTGGGGGCAAATTAGTCTCATTCGAATTGAAATAAAATTTCAAGTTCAAAACCAAAAAAAGCTATGTGGCTTATTCTAGGTAACCACCAACAGACGAATAGCTTTCTTTTGCAATGAGTAATAAAGCAATTTCATGGTTTCAAAGCTTAAGAAGTTTCAAATTTTTTTCGTAGCATAAAGTGAAAAAGTTAATCGCCTGTTAATCTTTTTAAAACCCGTCAGGATATTAGGAGGAAAATGTACGCTAGATTCTGACGTGTGTATTTAGCTTAATCAACTACACTGATCATTGCTGTTATTGGGTTGCAGTACGTGAAAATAAACAAAAATTTTGTGTGTGGGGGGGGGNTGAGGGGGGGGGGGTGATTTTATTCATGGTCTATTTGGGTTATAAAAAGAATTGTAACTCTTACTTAACCTTAATCATACATGATAAAATGGTAAATGAAAACAACTTCTCATAAATATACAGTGCTCCCCAAAATAAAATAATAAGCATTAAAAACTTTTCTTACATACAGTGCTCCCCAAAATAAAATGGTAAGCATTGACGACTTTTCTAAATATTTAGTGCTCGACCCCAAAATGATAAGGAAAATGATCTTGAAAAAAGATTGCATATTAAAGAAAAGTCGTCTTTACTTCACCATTTTATTACTGTATATTTATCAAAAGCCGTCAATCTTTACCATTCAATTTTGGGATGTATTTCTAAGCTAAATGTTTGCAAATAAATCGGGACCCATATTTGTGAATCTAGATATATAATTTTTTACATCTTCAAATTCATCGTGGTCCTTTTTGATTCAATTTAGAAATGATAAAGTTGTAATATCTTTGTCGAAATATGCATTATGCATGTAATCCACCAAGAAGGGATAGAAGGGGATAGGAAGAGGATGGAATTGTGTAAGCGATGGAAAAAAAACTGTGTGGCATATTGATAAACATGCTTAAATAGGAATGGGTTTCAATAGAAAAAATAGACAATTAATCTTTGGTTTGGAAAGAAATCATGAGAGAAATAAATTGAAAAAGTACAAAATACATTTACATATTTAAGCACAACGTGCAAAAGGGGCAATACTTAGGACTACTGCAAAGTTTTCAATGTAGTAACTTAATTTCAGTAAATCATTTTTCAGTTTTAATTTAAAAGAGTTGAGATTTAATATTTCTGAAATAGAGAGTTCATGATTTTTGTGTTCTTGATTTCTGGATCACTAGAGTACATAATCTTCCCGTTGAAAGTTGTCTAGACTTTGGGCACCTTGTCCTACTTCTTTGCTTCAACTCTCAGGGCAGCCAACAATTCAGAATTCCTTCTAGTGAGATCACCGTTGATTTGGATATTTATTCTTTGGTGTTATTTTTTTCATTGAACAGTCAGTATTCTTTTGGAATAAACCACTTGTGCTTAGCAGCATCAAGAGGATTTAAAGCAGGGTAGCTGTGCGTGATAACCTTGGCTCGAATATGTCTTGATATGATAGAAAACGTAGGACCTGTTTGATTACGTCTTGAACCAGTTGGAGATGAACGTGATGGAAGGATATGCCCTTGTTCGATAACTTTATTATATTCTGGTACTTGGCTTAGTTCCCCTTTCAGCTTAGGAAATTCAAGAGTTGGTTGGATTGCTTTGGTATATACGTATTTCAGGAATTCTCTATCTTTGTATTCCTTTGGTACATGCAACCCCTTGATACGGATACTGAAGTTCCTCTGATGTTGTTGCGTATCGTTAATCTTGTCTGTTAACTATTTGATTTTGTTATCCTTCTGGGTGTTCTGTGTTTCAAGAGCTTGAGTTCGATCCATGAGTGATTTAATGTCATCCTTGTTTTCTTTAGCAGTAGCAACTAGATCTTAGTTGGATCTTTGCAGCTGACGACATGGTTTTCAAACTCCCTTCGAATTTTAGTTACTTAAAGCAGCTTTTGTATATAGTATAAGTAAAAAATGCGTAAGTTCCATGACTGATTTCAATTAAGTGAATAAATATACGACTAACCCTCTTCCCTTCTCATTTACCGACACTAAGAAAATATCAAATTGATATTGAGGGCTCATTATAGAATATCTTCCCCCAAAGTGAAACAATTCCTCTTGCTATTCTTGCAAAAAAATTAATATCAATGTTGGTAGATTTTTCATGCTTAAACTTGTTCCGTTTATACGTACAGTGTAAATTATTTTATATTACTTAAAAGGGTATAATACCCAAAACGGCGAAAACTAATCTCCATACTATATGTAAACAATAAATAAATAGTTTAACATTTTTTGCCTGTAACATTTTAACTGTTGTGTATTTTTAGCAATAAAAATATAAATATATTACATTTTCACTCAAATTAAAGGACAGGTTCCTCTTATTAGATATCCCAATTGCGCCTATGGTCCTGTTAGTTAGTTACTCTTTTAGAAATATTGACATTTTAATAAAATTAATCAAAACATGTCCATTATATCCATTCCAGCAGGGGTATTCAATATGCTTTCAACCTGCTAATATATGAGATTAATAACTTTCATTTTCTGTTTATTTTTTTAATGTCTTTTTAAAACAAATTTTTAAACCTATAGAGGAATTTTTTTTGAAATTATATACAAAAATGAAAAAAATAAAAAATCAAGGCTTTTCCGCCTAAATAATGAAAAAAAATGTCTTTTCGTATCCTCAATAATAATAGTGTAAATATGACCTGATTGAGTGGTACCAGGCCAGAAAGATGAATGGCAAAATGTCTGCATAATAAATTATGTTGTTGGGACATTTCAAAGATTTCATCGACAGAGAAATCAAATTTCCTATCTTTATGAAATGGCATAACACCTCAATTTTTTCAAAATATCAAAATATGAAGAAATTTTTATACGTACTTTGGTTCTTCAAAATGTTCCTCCAGCATTTCTAATCCTTTACAAACATTTAAGATTTATATTCTTTTTGAACTTTAGATCCATCGGCCCACAATGGGGTTCTGTGGGGGTCATGGGGGGGGGGGTTGACTGTTTTTTGTCCAAATATTCGTCTCAAAATGCACATGCCTTGTTTTCATGATGAGAATTGACTGAAAATATGTATTCTGATTTTTTAACGTGTTCTTAATCTTATAATCTACCAGTTTGAACATAAAACCACTTTTATTTGCCACCAAATAAAGTAATTTGTAAAATACTAATTTTTCATTTTATATTATACACTATGCATGCGCTGGATGACAATTTAAAAGAAATTATAACACTGTGATAACCAGAAAAAAATGGAATAGGAAGACGACATTATAGCAAGTGTATTTGATGTTGTTACAAAGCAAATAGTTTTACCAGACAATCATTGAATCACTAATTTATTGGTCTGGGTCGGCACAATTTTCAAAGTTGTAACTTGGTTTCAAATTCAAAATGTTTTCAACTAAATTTTGCATTTGCAAACAATTATATTGGTTGTGTTACTACAAATGGTTAAATCTTAAAGCAGCCAGTATCAAAGATACTAATTTGTATCTTATTATAGAAAGTATATGTAAGTTCTAATATATTCTTGTCGTATGGTAGATTTGAAGAATTGCTTCTTGAGTTCAATGAGGGGAGGAAGGCCTGTCACAACAATTTTTCGTCCGAGCCAACTCGAAATTCTCGTTTTTCCATTTTTATGTTTTTAAAGTATTCAACCTTACAAGAAAAAACTATTTTTTAGAAAATATAACATTGTCGGGGCATTAAAAATGGTTAGAAGTAATCGTATTGCAATTATACATCATATTGGAATCTATAAATCTATTAGAATGATGTCAAACTTTATTTAAGTGAAAATCAAGTCTCTTCTGTCTACGTAAAGTATAACCCTGAATGATAAAAAGTAAGTTTTTGTCATACCTTTCACTTTTCCCATGGCATACATGCGGAAAAATTCTATCGTTTTCGATATAATTAACAACAACAAAAAATTGAAGTTCTATGATCGCAGAATAATTTGTGGCATTCTATACAGGAATATATCTAAAAATGCGCGTAAATAAATAAATAATTCAAAACAATACAAAAATTCAATATTTCAATTATGCCCTAACGTGGCAAAGAGTTGAAAAAAATGTTTGATCTTCAAGGATTGGACGCTAAAAAATACAGAGTTTCACACGAAACATCACAGTGAAAAGACGACTTGTAGGTCGTCCATTAACTTAAAAATAACTTATAAACCATTTTCAGAAGTCAAATACTTAAATTAATAATCACAAAATTGTCCTAGACTTTGCAATGCTAAAATGTGTCTTTTTCATGCTTTTAGAATTACCGGAATTATAGAATATATCGTTTTGATTTCGACAAAGATCTATGATCAAACACGATTTAAGTCGTCTCTCAACTGTCATGTTTCGTGGGACACCCTGTATAATATGGGAAAGTCGAGGATTTCTAGGTGACTCGGACGAGAAATTGTTGCGGCTGGCCCTTCTCCCCAAATTGAACTTAACGAAGCAATCCTGCTCGCTGCAAATCTATAACCAAGTGCGTAAATTTGCAGGGTTCATTGTGTACCTTAATGAAAAAAACACATTTACACAGCTAAGGATTATATTCTTATACACAAAAAAAATCTAAAGCGGCCAAGTCACATTTGACCTCCCCCCCCCCTCCCAGCCCCCTCTTGTATTATATAATACGTTTACCACTATCAGCATACTCCTCATATTCTATTCCATCATCAGAACTATCGTCCTCATCTTCGCTATCGCCAAAAACCTGAATGTCGTGTTTGAAAAATGTCTGTTTATTGGTATTCTAATTCCACTTGCTTAGTTCAAATTTTATATTAAAAAAACATTAAGCAGTTAGTTATTCTAAATTATTATACAAAAACATAACGATAAACATCTTTACTTTACTTTTCTTTAAAAACGACGGGTGTAATGTTTTTTAAGGCCAGCTCATTGAAAAAAATTAGACCGATAACTTTAATAGTTTGGGTACTAGCGAGGAATGAAAAAAACCGCCAAAAACATGGTCGAAAAAATGTTAAAAATTTTTTTTTGTTTTATACAAATAAGAAAGTGTGCCATATGTTTTTCAAGGACTTTTCAAAAATATTGTTTTTAGATCTGAAGCTCTTTCGTCAAAAAAAGTTCTGGGCTATATTTGAGATTTTTTTACACAGACCGTACTTTTTACCGCCACTTACCCTACCTATGCATTAATAAAAATAATTTTCTTACAAAATGAGAGGACTAAAAAACTATCCTGATAAGGATTAAAAGAAGAGCTGAACTTGTATTGGATCGGCCAGGGAGAAAAGAGAAAAAGAGGATTTTTTTAACAATATTGTACGTGTACTTTTTCTTTAAAGGGATTTCCATTTCCATATTTCCATACAAAGCATTCCTTTGAATTCGTTTTAAGAGATTTCTCTCTGATTTTTGCATGCAGACCAGGATTGTAATCCTCAGTTTTTAAATAAAACAACAAAATGGGGGGGGGGGGGATTTTTCCAGCGTAATCAGACATTTTTTCAAAAACTTTGAGTCAAGTCCATGTGGGGTGTCAAAAGTCATCATACTTTGGGTCGGGAACTCAATTCTGGACGAGATTTACATGCATTTCCCCTTAACTCAAAGTTAAAAAAAGCGGGGGAAAATGCAGGAAAAATGTAGGAGAAAATTTTGTTCCCTCTTTTTGGTGTTTAAAAACTAGATCACAATTCAGGCCTTCAGGCAAATATTCAGAGAGAAATCTATAGTAATAAAGTCAGAAAGAAGGCTTCATCGGCTTTTTGGAGGAAAATGCGGAAAGGGGGGGTAATTGTATAAGGACACGGGGGACATTGAGTCAAGAATTGAGTTTCCTTACTCAAAATTGTTGACTTTTGACACCCCACACGGACGCACAGTTTTTGAAAAAAATGTCCAAAAAATGCGGCGGAAATTTTTTTCTCCCACTTTTGGTTTTGATTTAAAACTAAATCACAAATCAGGCCTGTATGAAAAAATTAGAGAGAAATTACTAGTGAAATAAAGTCAGAAGGCTTTTAGCTTCATCGGCCTTTTGGAGGGGGAAAATGCATGAAAGGGGGGTGGGGCGGTGAATGGTAAGGACAGGGGGAAATGCATTCTAGAGTCCAGAATAGAGTTTCCTGACCTATATTTTGTTTCATTTCTCCCCTTATTATTCTTTTCTTTGTCCAATCTTGTTATATTCAGAAGTTAAAATGATACTTTACACATCAAATATGAAAATATTTTTTTAATTCACAAAAATATTACCTTTAAACCACCATTTAACGTTCCAATATGGGAGAGTTTTCCGCTATTCAAATGTTCCAAACTAAAAAAATTGCATTCGACTAATGTCAAGTATACTGCAATATTGTGAATATAAACTATGTGTTCCAAATCTTAAGCTATACCACCTTATAGGAAAGGCTTCTTAAACTATCATCGGCTGCTATGCTCGGTTCAAAAATTAACTTTTCCAAACTTTTGTCTACAGTAGTGATACATATATTTAAATACATTCTATTAAAGCTTAACTTTTATAACAAGCTGGTGATTAAGAGGAAAATAATCTTTGTTTTTGAAATAATATTGTGATAAAAACCCATAATATCCTTCCTTTTCCGTATATTGTGCTAGGAAAAAAATAGCGCATTCCGGTGATTTCATCCTTCTATTTTACGTTATTTTGTCTTTCCTCTAAAAAGGATTTTTTTACTCTATCAACTTATATAAATCTAAATTCCAAATTTCACAAATTTTGACTATAGTAATGATTTTGGGCGGTTAGTATGTGTGTTTAATTTTAGAATATTTTAGAATCAGGTTGAATTGCTTATTGTGAACTCTCAATTACCTGATATTCCTTACACATGCAAATTCAGTTGAATTCGTATCTTCCATAGTTCCGTAGGGACATATACAAATATGCTTCGTTCTATCTAACAATATTTTATTCAACAAATAGAAAAGGCAGTAATAAAATACATTTTTAAGCAAATTGAAATTTGTGGTCAAATTTTATTAAAAGTTGCTAACCTTCCGACAGAAACACACATTGTGGTCTCAGGGCACGGAGTTGAAAGACAAATATCATCCTCTAAAGTTTCTGAATTTCTTTCTTGATCATTTATTCTTCCATTTTCAGAGTTATATATCGTTGAATTGTAAATTTTAGAAGTCAACTTTGTGTCTTTAGTGATGTTCTGCTCGTCCTCAGACTTTAGGTAGAAAGGATTTGAAAATTCGTTCTTATCAAATTGATCAAGCTTCGTATGGTTATCTAGTTCTATTATCTGAGGAAAATAATGACCGGATTCACTGAAGATCTGGTTTTCTACAGATATCTGCTGATTTATCTGTCCGTCCACAGATTCAGAAATCTTAGATTTTATATCAGGGATTTCTGTAGTCTCCACTGATTTATTGTCTGTATTAATTTCTGTCTTACTATTCAACTGTATCTAAATATTAACATTTTTATACATTTTGTAACCCGATACACTCCTTTTAACTGATAATAACTGCCCTTAGACAGTACTAGCTATTTATAGGGCTTCCAAACTGAATTAATTATAATCAAAGCAATTTTGGAAATGTCAAATACATATTGGTGTTTTCTTTTGTAATATTTTTTATATCATTACTAAGATCGTTTAATTATTGTTCGACTGTAATGGAAATAATTCCTAAAATTCAGTGCAATGAGAAAATTATTTGAGCAAAAACTTTATGAACAATAATTTCAAAGGATTTGAGTCTTTGATACAAACTTTCATTTTCTAATCCCTAAATCTTTGCAACCCAATGTCGTAGACATTAGATTTTTCAAACTAATAGTTCTGTTAGATCAAATAAAAACGTTTGAAATATCAAAGGTTTACTTAATCAGGTTGCTAAGATAAGATTAGAAAATTTCTTAGACTTTTGATATTAGGAATTACTATAGATAAATATACCAGAAATTGTATGTGCACCTACTTAATCAAACTAGTAATTTTTAATTGTAGGTATATCCAAGGCCTATTTTCGTTCTTTAAAAAACAAAGTTTCTATAAAGAACCACCTCAAAACTGTGCAATAATGGACATCTTTTATTATGCAAACATGTGTGGCAAACATGATCGAGAGGGACTTAATTTAACATTACCCTCCATATAAAGAGTGGTAGCTGTACTCTTTTTCGGTCTTAAACTTATCATCATCCTTATTTTTTTTTTTTTCGCTGAAGATTTGAACCGAGAATACAGTCTAAACACTCATTCAAATGACGTAACAATTGGAGTTCCTAATTCCTATATAACGTTTAAAATGCGGTTTTCGAAAATCATAATAAAATATTTATTTTCTGTGACTCCTGTGAAATTAAATGATAGTATTTTTTAAGTTATAAATTATTGTATGCGTATCTGTGGATGCAATTTGTCAGCTATTAAAATAAGGATAACTTGATAAGACAAATGATAAATTGGTACCGGTGTGAATAGAACATATATCCCTCTACAAATGGAGGATAACTTAAAATTACTTCTATTGTCCCTTTAATGTTGAATTTACTAAAACAGGGAAATATTACTGAATTATTAGTGCGACATAATTGCAAATATTATTTTCAATTTTTTTATTAGTTTCAAGTATATTTTTTTAGTCAGTCAATATTTGTAAAATATTTTTCATAAATAATTTTTAGTAATTTTTAGTAAGCAAATATGCACTTGGTCTCATCTAAAACTATTGACAATACTTAACTTTTCTAAAGTGAAAAATAGCATTACCTTTCTGAGGGTGCGTTCATCTCTGTCAAAACTAATATTCAAAAAAGAAAAAAAATTCCTACATGACATTTAGAGAATATACAATTTTTTATTATTATTAGGAATATTAGTTTCCCCATGTTTAAGTGGATATTTTTTCAAAATTGTTTCCAACATTCCAGACATTATAAGTATTGTCAACTTAATTTAGAATGACTATTTAATATTTTTTTAAAGGTTTCCTTCACAACTACCCTTTTTAAAGAAACGATGGTGTAGATACCTTACATTTTTGGCACAGGACAAGTTTTAGCCAATTTTCAACTCATCATGGCTTTCCAAACTTTCCAATAAACATGAATTTTTGAATGCCAAACGAAGATATCTTCGCCATAACTTTTTAATAAATACGTTTTGTATTAAATAATTGTCATTTAAAACTAGGTTGACAGTTCATTTAACCTTGTTTTATTAGATAGGGTTTCTTCCACGTTCTTAGTTTTGTTTAAACCTTGAGTTTCGATTAATTCCGTTTGGTTCGAATCTTTATCTAAAACAGGTTTATTTTTTTTCCAACCACTACTCCGAAACACTTCAGCATGGTTTAAATTATTAACACCTTTTTTATTCGCATCATCATTTTGTAGTTGTTTTTCAATGTCATTATTTTCTGGTTGTTCATCAATGTTTGAATAATTATTACTTTGAAGTTGTTTAATTTGTTTCGAAAAAATCCTCCGTGGCTGTTCATTCTGGTTCATGACATTATTTTGTGATTGTTCCTCTTGGTTTAAAAATCTATTCTGTGAAAGTTCTCCAAGGTTCATCAAACCATTCCATTGCTGTTTAGTTTGGTTCGATCCAATTTGCTGTTGCTGTGCAGTGTTATTCGAACCGTAACTGCCAAGATGCTCATCATAATTAAACGCTTCGCCACTTTGGTACATAACATTTTTCCTTGGCAGTTCAGTTTGGTTTGAAACAGTATTTTGTTGCTGAACAATTTGGTTCGAAACATTTTTTTGTGACTGATCAGTTTTGTTCGAAATGTAACTGCCAAGATTCTCATCACCATAAATCAATTCTTGCCTACTCAATTTATCGAACTTATCTTTAGTTCTTGATTCATCCACTGGAATTGAAAACTGTAATGGCAGTGGACTGAATTTGCCTCGTTTAATTGATCTGGTTTCACCCTGAGTTTTCTTTGCATCCAGATTGTTTTGCTGTGCTGCTTGCTCCAGGATTCTTTCTGGATTGAAACCAACTTCTGAAGATTGTAAACTCATCTTGATTTCCTCAAGATCTTGAAGAATATTATCCAACACCTCTCTTTTTCTTGCTCCCCTGAAGCCCAGTGCATTCTAAAAGTACAAAATATATACGTATATAACCTTAACCATAAAAAGACAGGGAATTATGGGATAGGTGTAATTGCGTGGACCATCCATTTTAATTTTAAAGTCCACTAAAGTTGCTTTATATACAAAGAAATTGAGTCTTTGCCACAAACTTTGGTTTTCTAATTCTTACATCTTTGCAGCCCAATGTCGTAGACATTAGATATTTCAAACTATAAATTCTGTTGGATCAAATAGTCTAAGTTTAAAATATCAAAGGTTTACACCATCAGGTTGCAAAGATTTAGGGATTAGAAAATTTGAGTTTGTGGCAAAGGCTCTATTCCTTTGAGCAGTCTTGGACAAAAAACTCTAAAGGTCGAAATTGTGCGGTATATGACAGGCCCAGATTTTTGCTTCAGTCCCAAAATAAATATTGTTTATATAATTCTAAATTCACGATTGTATTCGCCATTTAATTTTCGTCCGATTTATTGAAAATGTAGTCCTCAGGTTAACAAAACACGTAATTCTAATCACGAACATTTAAGTAAAAAAAACACTGTTATCTCTAAATGCAAGCCTTTATACATGATAAGCCATTGTTATATTTTCTAAATTCCTCGTAATAATATTCGTTTATAGTGGGCCAACCAATTAAAACAACCTACTCTGGTTAGGCGGGTCCAAACTACATAGTAAATTGTGATTTTTTTATTTGTATTATCTCCTGCTTTGTAGTTGAATAAAAATATGAAATGAATATGAAATTCATACTTAAAAAGTTAGTTTCAAATCAAGCCCAATAAACATTGGAATTGTGTGACGATTTTGAGATCCTTTTTGTTTACAATTATTGACTTAGAATTGGTGATGTAAAGGAAAGCTGTAATCCTATAGAATGTTCTGTGCTATACGTTTGGAATTTGTTTGTGTTTGTTTTAATGGCATATACTGTTGTAGTACTGTAGTAAAAGGAAAAATTCTTGATTACAAAAAGGATACAAATTATACAGTTGTCTCTCTTCACTGTTCATCAATTGAAGGAATATTACAGGCACATCATACAGTTTCGTAGAATGATAAAAGAATCATTTGCATAAATATATATCTTTAGCAGACGTAACTAAATTATGACCTAACGCCCCTGAAATTAGACATTACAATGCTATAATATGCTAATTCTTAATAAAGGCGGTATCGATTATCAAAGTCGTTGGACATCTTTTGAAGTTTTACGATGAAAAGCAGAGAAAACAATATGCAGTCCTTTTTGGAAGTATTAAATTAAATGTACAACAACAAAAATTTGCAGGTCTTCATATCTTAAACTCAAATCTAATCAAACAATATCGATCGTTCATCTATTCAAAGTATTTTTTTCCCTACTAAACGTCTTTTTACTGTACGGAAAAACACACTTTTTTCAAAGACCTTTAAAAAAAGTAAATGTATACACACTTCATGTCTGCACTCTTGCAACCTTTTAGCCCTAAATTAAATCAAGTTGAAACTTAAAATGCCATTTTTAAATTTGCACGAAAACAATAAAAAACGAAACTAGCTGCAATTTTTTCATTTAAAATTTCTTTTTATAATTAATCACATAAGGGAACTGAGTTATTGTCACAAATTTAGATTTTTTCATCTCAATTTCTATGCTACCCGAAGTCTTAAACCTTTGAAATTTCAAACAATGAAAGGAATTGAGTTTTTACCACAAACTCTGATTTTCTCATTTCAATATAGTTGCAACCCAATGTCGTAGATCTTTAATATTTCAAACTATGAATTCTGTTAGATCAAATAATGTAAGTTTGAAATATCAAAGGTTTACATCATAAGATTGCAAAGATATAGGTTTTACAAAAACTGAATTTGTGGCAAAGACTCAATTCCTTTGTTAGGTCAAATTGTCTAAGTTTGAAATATCAAATATTTAGACCATCAGGTTGCAATGCTATATGGATTAACAAATTTGAGTTTGTGGCAAAAATTCAGAACTAGAAGTCTGTATTTGTATACTGTGCAGTTTGCTCTATCTTATTAAAAGTCGGCCTGGGACATGAAGTAAATCGGAGTTTTAAGTGAAATGCGTGCAATAGCAAAAAAATATTTTTTTATACTCTCAGAACCTTTCGAAAAAAAAATCCCAAATGAAAAACAAGCCATTTTAACAACGGCTTTAAGTTAGGAATGAGATACAATATTTGTACGGTAAACAAATTCCATAAATAAAAATTCTTTCCTTCCTGCTCTCATTAGTTTTGTATGCATATTTATATTTATATTTATATATGCAGATATAGAAAGAAAAATGGAGTCAGTGTATGTGTATACTACCTGGTTAAGTATATGAAGGAATATGAGAACTATACATAACTGCATGCTTTGTTTCTGTGACAATCTATAAGCTTTATGCCAGGTAAACTTCGAGAACATTTAATGTGAGGGGTGGGACTTAATTTTTAAACAATTCAATGCAAAACAGGTTTCGGAATTTTATGTTATGCTTGAATCGTGATAACAATTTTCTTTTAAATTAATATTTTTTAATATAAAACATTGAAATTTATTGAGATATGGGGTTTTAAATATTTATAAAAGAAAAATGTTCTTCTGCAAGAAATAGTTCTAGTAATTAAAAAATCCGTGAAACTGTTGCTGTAGATGTATTTACAAGTTTACAACCTGAAAACTATCTTCGATCTCTGACGTTTTGAAATTGGTCGATACATTGTAAATAAAATGCAAAACATAATTTGTTGATAGTTGCTAACTTTTTCATAATCGGCATGAACTTTTCTCTCTTTCTAGAAAATCATGATGAAAACAAAGGAATTGAGTCTTTACCCCAAACTCTGCTTTTCTAAATCCTATTTCTTTAGATTCGTAGACCTTAGATATTAAAAACTATGAATTCTGTTAGATTAAATAATATAAGTTTGAAATATCAAAGATTTACGACATCGGGTTCCAATGATATAGGGATTATAAAATTAGAGTTTGTGGCAAGGACTCAATTCCTTTTAAACTATATATATTTCTTACACTTTAAGAATCGGTATTAAAAACTGATAATATATTGAATACTGCAGTATCTTTTTACAAATTTTTTCGAATTTCTATCATTGTGAATGAATTGTGAATACAAATTACAAAATAATCAGTTTGCAAAACATTTAAATTTTTACATTACACTTTGATGTAAAATATCTCTTTTATAAAAGCAAACAAATTATGCTAAGGTCCAATATAAAAGTGATTTGGGCACACAATTCAGCGGAGCAGAATTATCTATAAAACTACAGATTTACAGATACAGGGTTACCCATAAAAAATGAGACTTCAGAGACGACTCTACGGAATTTATTCTGGCTGTTTTCTTTTATTTATGATCCCCTGCAACCATAAACTTCTTTCTTTCTTTACCGAATCAATAAATAAGCCATATAAAGATCACATTCATGGCAAAAGACTATATTTTAACTTGCGAACGTCATATTTGAAGAGTTTCAAGTCGTCTTTACAGCCTCATCATTTGCGGGTTAACCTTGTACTTTTTTATAAAGATGACTTCAATCACAAATTTCCTATTTTTTATTAAAAAAAAATCAAAAAGAGATAAGGCTGAGAAGCCCAGAACCATTATCTTTATTAATTCTGATTTTTTAATTCAATTTATCAAATTCAAAGGTTAATGAGAAAATTAAAAATTTTAAAGGTTTGAGAAAAAAAATAAATTGGGCCGGGTACAATCCAATGGCCAAACACATATGTTTGGAAAACTTTGAAAAAATTGAGATATTTGAGGCGGTGTTAATTAAGTTGACACTAATAGAGGGGGGGGGGGGGAGGTGTAGAGTTTCAAAATACCCCACGCAACATTTTGAGGAAAGGGTTAGACTAACCCCCTTCAGTACTAGACTGTCTATTTCGGAAAGTAAGCTGATATTTGATAAATATCCTGTATCCTTGTCAACTGGGTTTCCCAACGAACATCAGTTTTCAGGTTAATGATTCCTGAAGTGATCTCAGTATTCTATTTTACGGTAAACTATAGTTCATTATGTTTAAGTATTTATGCAGATTGCAGATGTCCAAAGTGATCAATGCAAAAAACTTTTACTATGTATTTTTTAGTACTCGAATGTAAAGTTTGAAAAAGAGGCGTTCAAACTCGGACTGTTTTTCACGTCCGGGGGCAGTAGTCCTCTTGACCTCCCGGACATTCCAGACCCCCCCCCCCCTTCGGAAATAGAACTACAACGGGTCATGTAACAAGTTAAAAAAAATTAATTGACGGCTTATGCAAACTTTTTCAACTTTTATCATTATTACTAATACTTTTACAAAAAACGAATCAACCATCTTTATTTTTAGTTTAGTTTTAATTTCAGTAATATGTTCTTCACACTCATTTCGATGTATGTTGTTCAATTTCTAAATATATTGAATTTAACTACGGCAAAAATCATCGGGGGGGGGGGGGACATTTTCGTGCAAATTTCCCACTTTTCTTTAAAGGGACTGTAAAGGAAAAATGAAAGGGGGTATATGATGAAACCTGAGAATGTCAGGCGTTAAACGATACATATAAAACATCTATCTGATGTTCCTGTCTCAAAACCAATCTGAAAACGACGATATCCCACAGGAGCCTGAGAATCTTATAGGTAATTGCTCCTATTGCATTTTTTATTTTGTATTTTTAATAGATATAATTGATAATATTAATAAATAAAGTCCGTATAGTCCATATTAGTGCATGCAGTATACTGGTCACGTGTTTTCCGCCTGTATCACGTGACAGCGATACTGCACTGCCATATTGGCTGAAGTTCTGGTGACGTAATACGGAGAAAACGGACTATATGTAATTATATTATCAATTATATCTATTAAAAATGCAAAATAAAAATTAAAAAATTATAGGAGCAAACCTGAGATTCTCAGGCTCCTGTGGCCGTGGGATAAAATTGTTTTCAGATTTGGTTGAGCATTTCCTGAATATGATCTGTTTAAAACTTTAAACCTACAACTTTTATACAAAATTGCATATATATGAATTTTCGCATAATTTTGACACAGTTTTATATCAATTTCTCGAGACAGGAGTATCAGATAGATGTTTTATATGTATCGTTTCATTTTTCCTTTACAGTCCCTTTAAGAATAAAAATCTGTTTTTAATTTTTTAATTTTGTCTTTCATTCCAGATAATATTACCTTGAGCTAAATGTTATCTCAAGGAATGAAAAATCATAATAATTAATTAAATTGATAATTATATTAAATATCAAAATGCAGATAGACAAAAAAACATACCCAAGGCATTTTTCAGGGATTTTTTAGTGTCAAATGTGTTCAATGTTTATAAATCTTTTGTGAATAACTAATATATCTTAAACTATTAAATATAATAGAACATAGCGACAAAAAAGTTTGTAGAAAAAGTTGAATAAAAGAAAAAGAAGACTAGTTTAATATTGATAAATTACTTCAAAACTAGCCGACATTATAAAAATTGCAAAGTGCTGTTAACAAATCCCGAAGATACACTAAACTTATAAATTCTAAGCATAATAATCATTTTTCTTCTGACCAAATGCTTTTCTAAAGTGACTTTTGTACTTCGACATCTAAAAATAAGAAATAAAAGGACTAATATTTTTCTAATCTAAGATAAAACGAGTTTTTATCAGCCTATCTCAAACAGATAAACGTAAAAACAGTATTTTAGTGAATCGTTGACAAAACTTTTATATAAAATTTAGCAATTCTGTAAAGGTCAAAACTATTTTAATCTCTCTTTAAAAAATCAGAATTTTAGATTTGTTTATTTCAATCGATGGTAATATTTCTCATTGAAATATTTTAACTACAGTGAAACCCTTGATAACGAATACATCGAAAGAATTTATCAAATGTCGTCTTGACAATTTTTCAATGAGTTTTATACCAAGTTACGTAAATTTCAGTATTTGCGAAAATAAATGAATAGCCATGAATATGCGGGAACAGTTTATAAAGAGTTCCATATAATCATTTTATTAAAAAACTAAATATCTGCAACATTCCATTATCAGAAAGTGAAGAATACGACATTTGATGAATTCTTTCGATGTATTCGTTATTAAGGTTTTCACTGTATTCTATTTCTTTCCAACTTTATTCCATTATTTCTTCTTTTCTATGTGTTCCATGTTGTCGAAAAAATGGGTTTCAGAAAGAAGGATTCAAAGTTTTCAAGGCATAACATTTAAATTAAAATTATTTTGAGACAGACTTTGTTTTGCTTAAATGAGAAAGCCAGGTCTTAGGACTCGGCTGATATACATGAAAGGATGTATGGATGACGCTAGCGTGTGTGCTATGCATATATATGACCGGGCCAGGGGACGGTAGGAGGAGTAGAAGCGTTAGCGACACGGGAAAGTACAAAATTTGTTTCTCGAATATCTTTATTCTGTATTCAAACATTTTTATCACATAATTAATATAAAATATTTAAACATTAAAAAGAAAAAAATAACAACTAAATAAATAAACAAATAGATATAAATGAGATAAAATATCCATTATGTCTTTCTGAAGTATATTGTAAATGCAATATCAATAAAGAATGATGAAAAGAATGATTTAGATTGTTAAAACGTTTCTAAACTATTGTATAATATATATATTATATATACTTAATGTTGTTGTTCATATTTCCAGAATAAGGATAACAAATGTTTATAAATGTGTATACAACATTCAAGGTATCGTCAGGGGCGGATACAGGGGGGGTGGGCAAGGGGGACAATCGCCCCCCACCTGAATTTAGAATTTTTTGTTCCTATTTTCAGAATAGCTTCTCAAAAGCATGCTTAAGGGAAAGAAACCCTAGTGCAAAACAGGAAAAATATCTGTCTTAATAAACTATAATGTGTTAAAAGTTAAAAATCTAGTGTTTTAGTCTTTAGTCATTAATTTTGAGTCAAAAAAATTTTCGACTGCGGCGCGATTTTTTGTTCCTAAAAAATCTTGCCCCCCCCACTCAATATAATCCTGTATCCGCCCCTGGGTATCGTTCATGTACTTAATAAAAGCCATATTTGGAAATTATGTTTTACCACTGTTTCTCAGGTGTAAATTATAGATGCGACTTGTAACAAAAATGTAAGAAAATATTGATACTAAAAAATGACTATGATAATAAAAAATGAATATCAATAAATATTATATAAATATATAAATATGATAAAGGAATTGAGTCTTTGCCACAAACTCTGCTTTTTAAAACACTATATCTTTGGATTCCAATGTCGTAGACCTTAGACATTTCAAACAATGAATTCTTTTAGATCAAATAATATAAGTTTCAAATATCAAAGATTTGCGACATTGGGTTCCAAAGATATAGGGATTTTAAATTCAGAGTTTGTGGCAAAGACTCAATTCCTTTTAATCGAACTAAAAAAACTAAGGAAAATTAAATGAACTGAACACTTGATGTCAAAATTTGACTATTTTATCTAGACGAAATTCAAATTTTAACAAATCAAAACTCTAGGTTTGAGTTAAAAAAATATGGATACATTTACAACAAATTATATTCTTAATTAATATTTACATAAAATTTACAAACAAAATGAAAATATTTGTCTACTTAAAGTTGATATAATTGGACTTAAAACAAAACTACAACTAACCCATAAAGCAACGAAAAATATTAAGCATAAATTATAATTTTTAAATATGAATATTATTTAACTAGGTTACGAGTTGACGATGAGTTTTGAGCACCCTGACTCTCCATACTTCTTTACATTCCATAGGAAAATTAATCTAAGGAATCAAAGAAGAACGGGAGCCAAGAAACAACAAATGGATTTGTTCACGTTTTCTTGGAGAAAACAAATGTTCTTCGTTATAAAATCTAGCTTCTTTGAAAATGTTCGTTATCTGGTTTAGATTAACTTGCAATCTTTCAAAATTTATGTGAACATGTGACCCGATCCTTGAGTTCATGTCATACCCCAGACACATGATTGTTATCCGTGCATTTATCATATAAGATAGTACTTGTTTCTGTTATCTTTGATTATTTAGGATTTTATAAAAGATTTGTTTCTGTTCACACTAGCTCTGTATCAACTCTATCACACATGTGGTGAAGACGCAAACTAAACTATCTCAAACTTTAGTCTTAGCTTACACCAGACTCAGTCTTGAGGGCAGAGAGGGTCGACTTTGGAGTACAGCCAAGGAGGTTCGGGCCGACAAACTCGACTCCGGATCTTGATAACGAATTAAGCCGACATAGAGTAAGACAAAAATGTCTGAAATTTAGGCTATGCATTCTAGCAACATTTGCGTAGCTTTTACTAGATTTGCGTTAAATTTTTTATTTGATGTACTCTAAAACTTTTAACAAGAACGTTCCAATTTATTTGCAGCATTTAAACCTCTGCCTAAAAAGTAGAGTTTGGTGTGTCTTGTTGAAAAATGGCTTCATTTGTAATGGTAAGATTTCTAGGTGATGATTAAGGTACCATACCAATTATCGAACACGCATTTTAATCTTAGTCACGATAGACTTTTCCAGTTCACTCTAAATAGGCTGGAGGGAGCGTTTGCCACCCCACTATACCACTCCTATATTTGACACTTTCACCTTCAAATTTCTTGAATTTTATGAAATAGTAATTTAAATATATTTTTTCTATAATCTTTTCATTGCATGCATAGGGTGTTAAATATCTAATAACTTTAGTTATTTAAGCTAAAAAGTTTTAAAGCACTTGAAAGATGGATATAAAAAACATTTGTCACATCTTATTATTTGTCAAAAATAATTTTAAAATTTTTTTTTTCACATTTTACCAACCTTATTTTGTTATTTATTTAAAACCTCCCCAGCATCCCTACCGTTAAAATTAGCGGTCTAATTGTTTTACTGAGTTGGTCTAGAAATTATACAAAGATTCAGACCTTTGGCCTTAAAAAAGGACCTTGTTCAGATTTGTAAATTTTCAATAATTAAGTAACACCGCTTTCTGTCTATTTCCGTCTATTTTCGTCTATTTTCTTCTATTTTCTAGGGCAAAATCGTAATGAAACTTCATGAACCTTCATCTCTTTACGTATATATATTGAAAAAATATGCATTTAATAACATAAAGACACTAGATGACTAATGACTGAGGAAAAAGTAAAGATTAAACGATTTGAAGATGAAGATTATAAATGTCACGCGGCGGCCTAGTTCCAAGAAATAATAACTTTGACACAGAATTTGTAAAAATACATAAATTAGATTACAATTCTATTCGTTTGGAATTGTGGTTTTAAATTTATTTCGCCTGAAAAACAAAGAGCTAAACGCATTTTTCTTTCCTTGACTCATGATTTTAGACCTGCCTTTGCGGGGTTTCACATATGGAAGAAGGGGAGATAAAAAGACCGGACACGATAAAATGCTGAAGATTTCCGCAAATAGTGAAATGAACTCTACGATGGCCAACTGTAGGTAAAAAATTTGAACCGATTCCAATATCTGACTAAAATGCTGAGCCTGCTGTTTACACCCATTAATCTACATGATTTCTTACCAAGCAATTACCCTTTTTATCCCATGGTTTGTAGTTCTATACATAAACTTCAATAATTTCATGAACCTTCATAATATTGAATGATCCATTTTCCGGAATTATTTAAAACATAATTTATCGTCCTTCATTTACTATAAAACATCTTACCATCTCTAGGTCCCAACCCATGTCCTTTTCTATCAAGTTCTCTTTAATAATCATCAGTTCTATCCGATCAGTTTAATCAGTTATCACTTCGTTACATCAGTTCTGTAATTTTAAATATCTATTTCTATGTTCAAAATCGATCCGACTTCACTAAAAATTTTAAGAACGCACGTTTCAGAATGTTTGATATTTTCGTGCTTAGTCTAAAACTACTATGAGATAGGATTTAGATTAAAAATATTTTAACTGGACCTTTACGAAATGAGCTGAACTTGAAAGCCTGTTTTCTCCGGCAGAATACGCTGTTTGTCCCGTCCCGATAGTATTCTCTCCTGTAAATCTAGTTTCTCTAGGATTGGTCCAGTCCTTGGTGTGATAATCTCTCATTGGTTGATTTGTTGGCTGCTTAGCCAAGTTTTAGTTACAATCTATAAATACACGCGCTTACATATGTGGGTGCCTTCATCATATCTTGTTTCTGAGTCATATGCATACATCCGTATTCCTCATATAACATACATCATAAAGGGTTTCATTCATATGATCATATCTAATACTCTACCCGGGCCCCTCACCCATCTATTCACTGTCCCCATCTCCTTTATTCCTTAGCGCGAGAACTTAGCCTCTGCAGTCTGCAATATACAATACATTCACAGTTCACTACATCTTTCTTTTGCTCTACCCTGCTTCCTCCATTACCAAAGGAGAGGGCGTATAGACCACCTCCCCCTGTCTTAAAAAATCGTTCTATTTCCTCTTCCGTACCACCACATTTGACTCTTCCGGGCAAAACTCTTTTTAAATGATATATTTATAGGGCCTTTAAAGTGTGGTTTTCAAAAATCCAGCCGCGTCACGCAAAAAATATATAATTAAATCTTATATTGAAGTGTTAATATGAAAAAAGGATGATTCCTCATAATGTCAACTGCAAAACTTTTTTTGAAATCAAAATTCTGATTTTCATAAAAAATGGAGCACCATAAATTACACTTAAATTTTGAAGGGTACCTTTTAAAGAAATGTTTGTATAAAAATATCATGCTATTTTTTAATCTATGGAATAGCTAATCCACGGGATAAAATTATCCCTAATAAATTATTAAGAATTATTTCGTGTAGTTATTGAGGTTGCATACTTGAATTAATTGGTTGGAAATTATAAAAATGAGAAAAAATACAATGTATTTATGTAGTTGCGTCCCTGCACTCAACATGACAATTTAGAGATGACTGCAGAGTACATACAACATTTTAGATGCAAGGCAGTCACTAATTAAATTTTAAGATTTTTAGAATTACCCCTCTTTTAAAAAATATCTTCTTTCGTCTACCTGGATGGAAGAGATTATAGGGGATGGAGGGGGGGGGGGGGTATCCCCAATCCATGCCCAATCCCTAAACTACGCTGGTGACTGAAAGCCAAGATAGTCACGCTCTTACACAAAAACTGATTAGTGTACTGTCAAATTACTCCTTTTACACCGAAGTTAGAACCCTGCAAGTAACAATTATAAAATGTGTATATCAGTGAATACTATATTGGAATGTCAAAGAAAATGCAAAACATTGAGATACTAAAGTTTAAGTTTTACAGGACAATATCATGAATTTATGAATTTTATGGGTAATGTTACATCGTCTGTACGCAATATCTCCCCTACTGAACTTCCGACCTACTAACTTTCCGACCTACTGCAATATCGGACCTACGTCAGCTGTTTATTTTTGTATTATTTGAGGGTTAGGTTAGGTTAAGACAATTTCTGGGCCGAGCGCCGCGGCTAGGACAGGCTAGGGGGCCGGGCTCTGCGGCCACATGTCCATATCGCAGCTGTAAAACCACGTGCTAGTAGGTCGGATGTATTGTATAGCGGATTTGGCGTAGGTCAGAAGTGGAGTATAGCGGATATGTGTAGGTCGAAAAATACACCACCATTTTATGTTACTTATTTTGTAAGACGACATTCTTGTCTTGCATTACAGAAATCAAATCAAGTTTGGTTTAAATTTCATAAGATAAGAAGAACCTGAATTCCTTTATATTGATAACTCCAGTACCAATTGTAACTCTGATCGTGAGGTTAAATTAGGAAAGCATGACTCTTTTGAAACCATCGTTGAAAATCTTCTCATGCGTAAATAGGTTTTCCTCTAGTGTATCCAATAAGGTGATTAATCTTTTTCTTTTGACGATATTTTATATACGATATCCAAAAGTCCCGTCAAAAAGTAGATCTTGGGTTTCAATAATATTTCTCTGCAGGGGTTCTGGTCAAAGGCAAAATTTGAGTTTGCTCCATCTAAAAGCTTCGCGACAAATTCTTATCCATGAAACCTGAACATGTTCTCCTTTTGACTTAAGTCTTCAAGTTGGTCCCTACCCCCTCAATCAGATACTTTTTAATTCACAAGAATAACTATAGCAAGTCTATGGACAAAGGATGAATGAAAAATATAGTATAGTATAATTTATTTATACATATATAATGATTAGTCTACGACAAGGGTTTCTATGTATTAAAAAATTAGAGTTTGTGACAAAAACTCCCTTCTATTTTACTTTTAATTGTGGCTCTATCTGATCGCAACTTCTCTTTGTCCAGTATAAAACAATAACAAAAATAAGTTTGCGAATTTTCAAATATTCATTCGCGCATTTTTAAAAGATCAAAAGCTTTTGGATAAAATTTTTGTAATTTTGAGCATCCATAGAATTTCCGTAGGGTCAAGTAAGGTCCCACACAAAATTAGGGAACGATCGGTTCAGCCGTTATGGCGTTTATTGGATACAATCAAACAGACAAGCAAAGCACGAAGTGTGATCATTGATCAATAAGTTTCGCTAAAAATTAGGGGTACTTTTAGAAGTCTCAGCTGTGTAATTTTTTTGTTGCAAGTTTACTAAATTTAGACCGGATTGTTTTTCAGATCAGTTAATATCAATCCGATCTTTGTTGTAATGTAAGGAGCGTTCTCCCGAAAGTAATCAGCTTCGGTCATCACAGCAAGAACATTTTCAGAATGGTCTCAAACTTGATTCATCAGAGTCTGCTTTAGACCCTTTGAGATCCATAATCAATGTAATGTCTTGGCACATCTGTCGGAGACTTTGAAACAAATTTAACCAAAATCTTGCTTTACATCTTTCTTTACAATGTAAAATCATATATTATAGGCTGTCCGGTAAACATACTTCCGGAACCCATGCTCTATGAATATATAATCCTTCAAATATTCATTTTTCCCTTCTTAACCCCATTAAACTACCATTAAAGTTTATAAATCGTTTTAAAATACGTTATGGATCATATTTTAGAGTTCCGCCTGGTTTTTGAATCGTCTAATAAAATTATTTTTTGGTAACCGAGCCTCCAAAGTGTCCCCTTGCTCCTGTTGATATTCTATGCTGTGACAACGAAGCTGATCCACCAACAGGAGAACACTCCTTACATCACAACAAAAATCTGCTTGATGCGAACCTGGCCAAAAATGTATACGGTATAGATATAGTGAAATATTTTTAGAGCAGAGACTTCTATGAAGTACCCCTAAGAATATTTTAGCGAAATTTATTGATCTGACTGTTGAGTAAAAACGCATTTTTGAATGGCACCAATCAATTAAAGATTTTTTTAGGCGAAAAATTTGATTTTTCTGAAAAAAAAACTTGGAAATAAGATAACTTATTAAGATGTTGAGATGTATTAGACAAGAGCTGAAAACTTTAGAATGGTGGATATCGAGATTAATGCTTGATCTCCTCTTTTTCTTAATCTTCAGATTAAATAATGCTTGTTCTCCTCTTGTTATTAATCTCCAGATTAATTAAACGATCGGGATTAAGGATATCCCATTCTAAAGTTTTCAGCTCAGCTCAAATGAAACCTTTATGTATCTAGCTAAAAAAAAAGTTTTTTTTTAACATTTAGCAATAATCTTTCATGTGAAAGCTGAAACAAATGTCGTCAGTTTGGCTAATCAATACTATATGATCGCCACAGGCTACTTGGACTGAAATTTGCGATTTTTTCTGTAAATATCTGAACAAAGACAGTACAAAAGGGGTAGCAGAGCCCTTTTTTCAATTTTTGGTTTTAAAGTTCCCTTTTAAAGGACTTTTAATAAGTCGGATAAATTTTCACATTTTACTCCAAAACCGTGGGAGCAATTCCAAAAGCCTAAGAGCAGTCCCACAAAAATTTGAGCCCAATCGGTTCAGCCGTTTATTGGATACAAACGGACAGACAAGAAGCAAAGTATATATATAGATAGATTGAGATTTGAATTTGGAAATTAGAGTTGAATTATCAGAAGATAATAGAAGAAATAGAAGATAATAAACATTCTTATTTAGATTCACCCGTTGTATAAACACACACAAGTATCAGAAAACGTGTTTTTAATCCAGGGATGACTTTTTGTTATCAAGTTTGCCAATTACTATAAAGGAGTTGAGTTTTTGCCACAAACTCTGATGTTCTAATCTCTATATCTTTGTATACCAATGTCGTAGACCTTAGATATTTCAAACTATTAATACTTATAGATAAAGTAATCTAAGTTTGAAATATCAAAGGTTTGCACCATCAGGTTGCAAAGATATTGGGATAAGAAGATTTGAGTTTGTGGCAAAAACTCAATTCCTTTTAACCCTTTTGAAAATTTCTTTTATTTATGATGTTAGAACAATATTTGAATTTAAAACCATATTTAAAGTTAAATCAAAATCAAATTTAGATTAAACTTTAATTTCACATTGAGTGTATTATTTTAGTTGTTTTCTATAATATTGATAAAATAAAAAGTAAATCACAGGAGAAATATTTCATTTCCTGGAACCTTGCCAACATATTTTTTATTCGAGGATCAGACAGGTATATTTTTCTTTAAAAATGTTTGCGAAAAATCAAAAGTAAACAACCAGCTGGGTTGATTCAAGGGACAATACGCAATATTAATTAAACATTCAATACTCAAAACAATCATAAATTTTAAGAGCAATGTTGTAAATTTAATTTTCAAAATTCAAATACGATTTTATGTCGTCTAATTTTTTCATGTTTTATTACGATTTTTTAGAGATCTTCTGGTGGATACTGGAGTAGGTATTTTTAACCTTCCAGCTTATCTGACCAGCGCGCAGCTGAGAAATGCACCTGACAAGCCTTTAGATGTTGTTCTTACTCACGCTCATTTTGATCATTCTGGAGGAGCACATCAGTTCTCAAAAGTAAGAATAAACAAGAAATGCATGAAAACAATGAGGACAAAAACAAGTTCTATTTTCTATGATCGACTTTTTATAGGTTTTCATACATAAATTGGAAGATGAAACTGTAAAAACAGGAAACAGGTAACATTGGAGGGGGTTACCCACGCATAGGATTGGACTTCAGAGGCGGCTATATAGAACTAACTTAGTCTTTTTGTCTTACATTTTGGCGGAAAAAATTCAACCTTCAGATCGTTATAACTGTAGAGTTTTATTTTCTCATCATAGTCTCATTCTTTGTGGGTAACCCTGTATAACTAGGAATACAGAGATGAAAAAGTCTTTTTTCTAAACAACTTTGTTCCAAAACCAAGTTCTCAAGTGAAAAATTCTAAAAATGCATTAGTCAAAATAAACTTTTTCTCTAAAGATAAATATTTTTACAGATATTTATCTAATAAATATCTGTAAAAATTTTGAGTGTAGGAGAATGACAGCGAGCTGGGTAACTAGGGAAGAAGTTGTTCCTAAACCAACCGGAACCTGGAATCACTTAGAATACAGGAACTACAACAAAACTGTTCTTTTTACTGAAAATAAAACAATTTTTATATGTTTTACATTTTAACATACTCGTGCAATGTATCAGATTTAGAATTAGATTTTTCCTTCGAATTTTGTTTCATTAAATTTTTTATTATTTTCCTAATTGGAAATTTGTATGAATTCAAAATACATAATATGATTCTTATTCATTTTTATTGTTGTTTTAAAGAGTTCTACCATCCAAAGTGTTTCCGATTGAAAATAAGTATGCATTTGATAATATACGCTCACTTAAAGTATTGGTACCAGTACAAACGTCAGACCCACAAACCTCGGACGGTACAAACCTAAGACTTACAAACGTCGGACTAGTACAGGACTGGGACAAACGTCGGACAGCACAAACGTCGGATCAGAACAAACCTCGGACCAGTAAAAACGTCGGACTAAGGAAAAAAAATTATTTGAATTTTTAAGATTTTTCTTTATTGAAAAGTTATTTCCTTTTATCGACTGGTCTAATTAAAAATTATCCAAAGGAACCGAGTTCTTGCCACCAACTTAAATATTCTCATCCCTATATCTTTGTAATCTTTTAATGGTATTAACATCTAATACTTTCAAACTTGAACTGTATCGATCTTATAGATTTCATAGGTTAAAATATTGGAGGTTATACGACGTTGGGTTGCAAAGATATAGGCATTTTGAAGCATCAGAGTTTGTGACAATTGAACCCAAGTCCTTTTTTGTCTGTTGTTTTATACAGTGCTACCTTCAAAGGATGAGACTTTATTATGTTTTCTTTGATTTTTATCACAATAAGTGAGTGATTTTTAATTTATTTTTTATAGAAATGGTCTTTTCTTTCAAACTCAAACAAAGTCCGACGTTTGTACTGGCAGGGGCGGACACAGGATTTAAGTGAGGGGGTGGCAAGATTTTTTAGGAACAAAAAAATTGATAATTAGGAACAAAATTAAAGGATTAGGATAGGGATTTAGGAACAATAAAAAGATTGCTCAGGAAATAGGAACAAAATTAAAGGATTAGGACAGGGATTTAGGAACAATAAAAAGATTGTCCAGGAATTAGGAACAAAATTAATGTTATAATTTTAAAAAAATTTTATCAATATTATTATTATTAGCATTATAATTATTATTATTGTTATTATTTCTGTTATTAAATTGAGAAGTTGATTTATTTGATCACGATGGAAGCGATAAATCCATTTTATCTTCTTTTTTAAGTTTTGAATTTGATCTTGGCGACAGAACATTTAAGGTTTTACATATTCCTGGACACTCTCCAGGTACAATATATAGCAATTTTTTATTTCTGGACTCTTCATAGTACATACATGATACAACTAGTTTATTTTAGGTTCGATAGCTTTAATAGATGAGATAGGTGTTCTAATTACAGGTTTATATTTAAACTATAAAGATATACATTTTGATATTAATTGCTGATCTCTCTAATCAATGATACATTAAATGATAAGAATTCTTCCGTTCCTTCTTAATTGATTCATTTTAGGGACTTCATGGTTAAGTGATGTGTAAAATTGTATTGACCCAAAAATATTTTCCTATTTTATCTTGTTTTTTTGTTTTTTTTCTTCTATTTTCAATGTTCTCCTTAAAGGACATTTAAAAAAGAAGAAAAGCTAAACAAATTTTAATACCATTAATTGTGCAACAAAAAGAAAAAAACAATTCTAATTTTTTATTTTTAAAGTTTCCTGAAAAATAGATAAAAAATAAAACTTGCACATAACTAGTTTGTGTTTTATCTCTCAAATCATGTATTATAAATACTTAATTATATTATTATGCATGTATTCTTCCAGAACATAGAGATACAGATTTTTGTTTATGTTGTAGGAGATACTCTCTACAAGACTTCACATGGATTGATTGATTGGTATCCAGGAAGCAGTTGTTACAGGTAACATACATGGGTTAGCCATAAATACAGAATTTATTCGGTCATTTTTTTCACACAGTAATCAGATTCAGGTCTTTGTTTAATTGTGTGAATAAAAATTTATCTTTATGACATTGTAATTTTTCATAGTTGTGACTATATATAGATTGCTTATCTACAATATACTAGGGCACGCCTTTATATCTATGGTGACAACGATACTGCACTGTTTTATATAAATTTCTCGAGACAGGAACATCAGATAGAAGTCTTATATGTATCATTCAACGCCCAAGATTCTGATTTTCATTTTTCCTTTACAGTCCCTTTAAGTATTCCGCACCCAGATGTCAGAATGGATTTCTTTTGTTTCAAAAAAATTAAAGATGGTTCCTACATTTTTTGTAAAGAAGTACACTAACTTATAATTCCAACCATGCCTGGACACTAAGTTTTTCTGTACTGTCAAAAGAAAAAAAGGAAAATCGTTGAAGGTTTCTACTTTTTTCTAAATATAGAAGAGTTCCCGGTGTAATAAGAAATGCAGCCAAATTTTTAATACTTTGTAATCTAAGTATATAAAAATCAAAATGAAAGTCTCACAGGACGTTAGTGATAGATAATAATAATAATAATTACAAGACATTACATTATTATCCTAATGATTGTATTATACATTTGTGCAATTCGTATGACATATAGTATATATATGTATATCATAATCTCAATTTTCGTTGCAGGATGAGGAGTAGTGTTGAGAAATTGGTTAATCTTTGCAGGCAACATAAGGAACAAAAATATACTTCCTTTAGATCAAAACCTTTTCAACAAGTTTCCATAAATAAGTTTTAAATTTTTTTCAGACTTAATAAACATATTTATGTTCTGTAGGTAGAAACAATTCTACCAGGACATAACCAGGTAAGGAAGTATATTAGAAATATACGTTTTCTCTATTTTATTCTTCTTCAAAATTATGAGTTTGTTATACAAAAATTAAGCGTGATGTTAAAGTTAGATTGCGAATAACTTGAAGGTTTGGGACTTAAGTGTACATTTTTCAAATTTAAGATGGAGGGTTCTATGATTTTATTTTATACGTATTTTGGGTGAATGGTTGAAAACATTCCCATATCATTAAAGAATGTAATTTTTATTTATGCATGATATTTTAAGTGCTTACTTTACGAAAAAAATTGTTAATGCAGAAAAATATTGCATAGCGTGCAAGTCATTAAATATGATAATCGTTCAGCTTTTTTCTTCTAATTACAGACAGTCGTCGCCGTAGTATCTTTCAATACAGTGAAGACGGCTTTCTATTTCAATTTTGATTTCTACCAATTGCTTTCAAACAGAAGAAACATTTAAACATTTAAACAACGAGAAGTTGTTTTACATGAACTTAAGCGGGTTTCAAGAGATTTACACAGGAAGCTCTTTTATCAGTCATAGGTTTAAAGGGTACATCGGACATTGCCCTCTTTATATAGAGGGTCACTTAAAAGTATGCTTCCAGTCCCTTAAACAGGATAATCAGTTTTAAACAGATCTACAAATTATCGATTGCTCAGATGATAAGTAAAAGAATTAAAATCTGCTTACCTTTCTAAATAGTGTAGTGTAGAATGTGCATTAGGATGCACGTTTACAGAAAAGTTCTCTCACACGTGAAATGTGTTTCTAAGGTCAAGCTAATACGTGTAATTTTGTGAAAAATCAATTTGCAAAAACAAGTTTTTAATTAATTCTATTGAAGGGGTCCGGAACAAGCAGAGTATACTGGCCCCCCCCCCCTCCTCCTCCACTCCCAACAGACGTCTTTAAACTCAAAACAGTTGTAAACAGTGAGGGAATCTACTCTATATCTATCAGTAAAGGAATCTGCGAACTTTCAAGATGGCGGTCACAAAAGCTGATTTGAGTAAACTAGTTACCAGCCTCAATGCTTAACTCAAGTTTGAAAACCATGTCTTGGGTGAAATTCGTCAGCTGCAAAAATCCATCGAAGATCTAGATGCTACTGCTAAAGAAAACAAGGATGACATTAAATCACTCATGGATCGAACTCAAGCTCTTGAAACACAGAACACCCAGAAGGATAACAAAATCAAATAGTTAACAGACAAAATTAACGATACGCAACAACATCAGAGGAACTTCAGTTTCCGTATCAAGGGATTGCATGTACCAAAGGAATACAAAGATAGAGAATTCCTGAAATACGTATATACCAAAGCAATCCAACCAACTCTTGAATTTCAAAAGCTGAAAGGGGAACTAAGCCAAGTACCAGAATATAACAAAGTTATTGAACAAGGGCATATCCTTCCATTACGTTCATCTCCAACTGGTTAAAGACGTTGTCAAACAGGTCCATCACTCATTCATACGTTTTCTATCAAGATCTATTCGAGCCAAGGTTATCACGCACAGCTACCCTGCTTTAAACCCTCTTAATGCTGCTAAACACAAGTGGTTTATTCCGAAACAATACCGATCATCGACTGTCCAATGAAAAAAATAACACCAAAGAGTAAATATCCAAATCAACGGTGATCTCACATTAAGAATTAGAAAAAATTAATTGTTGGTACATGTTTAATAAACTTACTATTAACTTTAAGATAACTAATGCAATTTTATTTTCAAATTCTCTAAATGCACAAAACGACTGTCGCGATGTTTTCTCTAAACTAGGAGAAACTACACGAAAAAATGAATGCATAAAAGAAACAGATTTAGTTAGATTCTTGGGAATATTGATGGATACTAAAATAAACTTTCATGACTATTTTAAAAAGATATACAGGCGGTTAACTTACTCCTTTTATGCTATGAAAAAATCAAAAACTTCTTAAGCTTTGAAACCATGAAACTGCTTTATTACTCCTTTTTCCACTCTCATTTAGAATTCAGTTCAACATTTTAAATACTAACTTCAAACAAAAATATTGATAAGATAGAATCATTGCAAAAGAAAGATATTCGTCTATTGATGGGGTTACCTAGAATATTTCACACAGCGGAAGCTTTTTGGGCGTTGAACATACTCCCCTTCAGAAAATTGGGATTTTTTAATGTTATCAAATTTTTATTTCAATTTAAAATAGATTTCATTTTATCCACAAATATTAAAACCGCAACTCTTAGAAACAGAAATGGTTTTATATTCCTAGAGCTAGTAAAATCTATTAAAATCCAACTGCTTCCTCCTCATAATTTCCCTAAAATATGGTATGAAAATAAACGGCACTTATCTAAGCTTTCAAATATCTTAATTTTATTTCGAATTTTAAAAGAATTTGATTGAAGATTTATATCAGCAAAACAAATGTTTTAATTCTAACATATGCTAGGTTTGCAAAGGAATCGAAGAAAGCAAAACAATATTTTACAAAGAAAAGACTAAAAAGAATAAGAGATAAAATCAAACATTAAGGATGTTAAAAATCGGCGCGAATTAAAAAGATGCTTAAAAATGCCCGTTTTGCATAGAGCATAAAGCCTATTAAATTTATTTTTAACATTACAAATGAATCTATCAATTTTATTTCTAAAAGTTGTTAGTTCATCGTCGAAAAATACACCACCAGTTGTATCTATATAATAATTACTTACTTACTTACTTACTAAACTAAAGAAAACGAACTATAATTGTAGGTTTTAAGTAGAAATGAGGGAATTGATGCTGGGGAGTTTTATCTCAAACAATTCTCAGTATTTAGGTGAGATTTTGTTCCAACATTATATAACAAATATTATTTTTAAACTATGCATTTTTATTAGAATAAGCTTTTTAAAATAAATTTTGTCATTTTAAATTCAATAAGATGCCTTTTTAAAAATAAATACTTTATGAAATTTAAATTTTCTGTTGTATTCCATGAAAACTCTGGGACAGTTAAAGAAATATCCCAAGTCATAAAAACGGGTTTTGGTATGTAAACTCGATAAATTCTCGAAGAACTTTAGAAAGGGTCTAGGTTTGGTTAAATAGAATGTCCCAGAACTAAACTATTTTTTTGTATCTGTTTGAATAAGAAGACCATATTATTGTTATTGAACCATCAGCAAAATAATTGCAATTAATATTTTGATAATTAAAATATATCTTTATAACCTGATGCTGTTAACCTTTGGTATTTCAAACTCCCAATTATTTGATCTAGCTTAATTAATTGTTTGAAATATCTAAGGTTTACGACATTGGGTTATAAAGGTATTGGGATTAGAAAAACAGAGTTTGTGGCAAAGACTCAATTCCTTTGTCCGGACGCTCGTTATAATTGTTTGTTTATATTACTATTTTTTTTAAGAGCGGAGAAAAAGAGACTGAGTCGGCTTAGAGCAAACACAATGCTTTTACTCAACCAGATATATCCACTTCCAGAGTTCTGTAGAGAATCCTTATCAAACTGAAAAGTTTGACTTAAGTATCAACAATTATTACAACATTAATTCAGTTTTGTGTAATTAACTGAACAAACCTTAATTATAAAATTAATACTCAAAGTTTGAAAAAATATAGAGATTACAAAAACAGAGTTTCTTTGTTGAAAAATATGATAAACTTTCTTTAGATATTTTTACAACAAGCAAACTGTTTTGTTTGTTTATTTGTTTTAAATCTGAATATTTTTTTCATGTCTGAAATTGTTAAAAGGAAAGCGGGCGCGAAGTGCCCCTAACGCCTAGCTAGATATACTAAACCAAATATTAACATTTGAGATAAAGGAATTGAGTTTTTACTACAAATCCCAATTTTATAATACCAAAATCTCAACAACCAGATGATGCAAACCTTTCATATTTCAAACTTATATTGTTTGATCCACTAGAATTCATAGTTTGAAATATCTACGGTCTACGACATTTGGTTTTAAAGAAATTGGGATTTAAAAATTCGAGTTTGTGGCAAAGACTCAACTCCTTTAGACTAAACTCAGTTGCTTTTTAATCTATTTTTATCAGCAATCAAACCAACTGTAAAAACTGGGTTGAAAGTGAATGATAATTCATCTTAGACCTACATTTTTAATTAAAATGTCAACATAACGTGACAATGGATTCGATAGATAATAATAATTAAACCTAACCTACAAGTTTTTAATTAAAACTTTTTATTGCTGTTTTTTTCTTGCATACAATTTTTATAATAAAATACTATTAATTTTATGTATCTTAATCCAATTCAATAGATTTAATGAATTTACATTAGAAAATAACAAGAATAAAATAATTGCCAAAGTTATGACGTTACATGAATGATATACAATTACTAAATTAAATGACTAAGATTGTGATTTTCTTAATGAAAAAATATATCTTAAGCTTAGTTATTTTTTCTGATGTGATTTTATATTGTCTAAATAGTACATATATTGTATTTCTATACAGTATACATAGAATATTGTATGTTGTATATTTACAGAATACTAAATATTCATTTCTTTATAAAAAAGCTGTTGGTGGTATGAAATAATTTTTATTGAATCCTGCTAACCTAGCTAAAAAATGTCCAAAGAATTCCGGACTATTTTTTCTTTATCACAGTTGGGTAAAACCTGAAAAACAAAAATTTTTAATCATTGAACAAATGAATTAAAGGGACAGTAAAGGAAAAATGAAAGGGGGTATAGGCTGAAAGCTAATCACTTTAGCTTTTCATCGAGACCCTTGAGACGCCTATCTGAAGTTCCTAACTCGAGAGTTGATATAAAGCTGTTTCAAACTTGTACGAAAATGCATATATATACAATTTCGTATAGAAATAGTAGGTTTAAACAGACCATGCTCAGAAAAACAGCAACCAATCTAAAAAAGATGATATCCCAGAGAAAGCTAATAGTAATTTAGGTTTACTTTTATATTTGTTGTTTCTATTTTCAATAGATTTCATTCATAATATTATTTTTACGTCCGTATTACTTGACCAGAAATTCCACCAATGGCAGTGCAGTAAAGTGATCACGTGATACAGGCGGAGACACGTGACCAGTATACTGTTCTGCCATTGGTGATAGTTCTGGTCACGTGATTTAAGTTTCAGATTTTCAAAATTTTACGTATATGAATTTTCGTATAATTATAACACAGTTTTATATCAATTTCTCGAGACAGGAACATCAGATAAAACTTTCATGGGTCGCGATCAAGAGCTAAAGTGATTAGCTTTCAGCCTATACCCCCTTTAATTTTTCCTTTACTGTCCCTTTAATAATCTTTTAAAAAACAAAGCAGTAAAAATTACTTGTCTGAGACAGCTAAAGCAGCTCCGATACAAGCATTTCCCTCGTCCTCAAATATTACAGGGAGTCTATACTGCTCCTGAATCTCACGTTGTAACACCTGAACCAAATAATAGAATATAGAATTATTTATGATTTTTTAAAAGAATGCTACGGAACAATGCAGGTTTAGAGACTTAAAATTTCCCAAAGAGTTGTAGGAATGGGAAACCTTTCCGCAATGTTTTATTTGCCTGTAAAGCAGAAATCCGCACACATTCCAATAGACAGATGGTCAACTTTATACAACTTACGGGTACCGTGTTTCAACCTCTTCAAGTTTTGATTTTACACCCTGTTTGGTTACATATACTAGCAATTCTCAATACCTATTAAAGGGATGGTAAGCGTAATTTCAAAGGGTAAATCGGACACTCCTCTCTTTGCATAGAGGAGAAATAACAATTACAGCCCCTTTAGATAAAAATAGTGAAGAAAGTCCTGGCCTTATTTTAAGTAGAAAAACAAAGATACGCTGGAAGAATATTAAAATGGCTCTGGAATCATTCATGGGAATTTTTAATTAATGAAATATCTTCATGCATACAAGAACTAAATATTATCCTTTATAACCTGGTTTCTTATTAGACAAGCTCCTGATCCAACTATCCTTGTTATTCCACGCTGTTTAAGCATTTCAGGAGGCATCATAGCTGCTAGGTTTGCAATTATACCGCGACAAACAGATCTAGTCACCTCACCCAGGCCTAGGTTACCCTAAAATTAATTATCGTTGTTTTGAAGAGCTTTTTTCACAATATATTTGCATTTTTGAATATTTATAAATATTTTTAATACTTAAAGAATTATAATTAATTAGTATAAATATATAAGAATTAGATTGAGTTAAATGATCACTTATCAGTTTCTTTATCTTTTTAAGTTAATGTAAGCGTAAATTTAAGTGACACTCCTTGATGCAAAGATGATTCAATGCACGATTCACAACGATCAGACAAAGGAATTGATTTTTTGCCACAAACCTAACTTTTTTAATCCCTGTATGTATGAACCTGATATTTGAAATCTTTGATATTTCAAACTTATATTATTGAATCTAACAGAATTCATAGTTTGAAATATCTGAGGTCTACGTTATTGGGTTGCGAAGATATAGGGATTAGAAAATCTGAGTTTGTTGTAAAGACTTAATTCCTTTGAAGAAACACATTCAAATCAAACTCAAATCCGCTAAATTAAATATTTTTTGTAGCAACCTTTCCAATGTTCTTTGAAAGTTATAATTGATTTTAAAGAAACCTGGTTGATATTGACTGCTGATCCTTTCTGCTCAGGAGAATGCCTTTCTCCAAATATAGTTGGAAGTATATCTATACTAGGTTCATTCTTCTCCTCAAAACCAGCTGCAAGCGCAGTTTCCCAGATCTTCGACTAAGAACAACTTTATTATTACCTAAATTAAACATATTCCCAGCTGCCTAGAATACCTGAACCCAGATGAACGTTCTAAATGGACAGCTCTGAAAAAAAATATAGAAAACATATTTGAAAGTTTTTATGACCTGTGTCACGTTGACCCCAAGCTGTATTACCCACTGCTGAATCATTTTAATAAAAGCAGCTAAAGCATTTCCTCCAGTCATAGACGCTGCTACCGCAATATAACGGTCCTATGGATATTTAGCGGTATTAAATATATACATAATAACTTATAACTGTAATACGATTGTTCATAAATTTCACCTCAAAATATGGAAAATATTCTACAGGTTTATGAAGGTTTTCGTTGGAGATTAATTTGGGCTGAAATCCCTCTGCAGTGATCAGTTTTCTTTAGAAAATCGACCAATGTAAAATCTAACCTTTGATTGTTTTCATTGAAACTGCATCAATCTTAAAATTTGTATTAGCATAAGGTTAATTTACAGTCTAGTGGATTTTTTCTCTCTCCATAATTACTATTCCCTGAAAAAAAGCCTTTGCTTCACCTTAACGGTTTTCAGATTTGTAACACAATGTTAATTCAATTTTAAAATTACTTAACATAAACTTGGTTGTCGTTAGTAATTTTACTGTACAATTGTATTTATCTAATACTGTTGATTTTATTGAACATAATGTCTGAGCCGAAATTTCTAAGAAAATAATTCCTGGTTGTACAAAGGCCATCTGCGCGCTTGTCGAGACATTAACAACTGCATCAGTTTCTGGGGTTTCTGTAAATGGGTAAAAGTTTATCTTAGATTAAAGGCAAGGTGTTGACTAATTCCTTCAGTAAATTAAAAAATTTATTTGAATTTAAAAGTAGATTATATTTGTATAGTGTATAGATATACATTAACCTAAAGTAGACTTCACACTGCACTGTAGATCTCCCATAGCTGCGCTGACCGGTGTACCAGCTGGAACATCAAACCAGTCTTTTACAAGGTTACCAGCTGATATTCCAGCTCTAACTACCTGCATGCATCATATTAAATCAAAAATGTATTTTTTTAGTTCTTAATTAACAAAATGTTCAGAATGTTTAAAAAACTTATGATAATGCATAACCTGAGGTAGCAGGTTAGTTGAAAATCCTGCCTCTTGTAGAAGATCTTTATTCCAGTTCATGTTTATAGAATCAAAGTACCCAAAGCTTGCTGCATTCTATGTAGAGATCTTTATCAAATTATGATGACAAAATTGAAGTTTCCAACCATCAAATTAAATTCTGTTTATTCGTCACATCGTGAATTAAATCTGCACGAAGTAAACGAAACCGTTTAAAATGTGATTTTGGGAAAATTTCTTAAATTTTTTCTTCTACCTGGTCTGCCATGACGGGAAATTCTAGACCTAGAATCATCGCTACAATAAAATCCATTATTGTTCCAAACCTAAATAGTTATAAATGAATTCAAAGTGGTCGAGTCCATGAATAAAAATTACTATTTATCATAAAGATATCCTGAAAATGACCTAGACCCCATGAGAAATAAAGATAAACCCCTTAAAAATCGTCAAATTTTTGCTGATTTTTAGATTTGAATGTTGTACTTTCTTCAAATTTTATTTATATTTGCCATACCTGTCAAACTGTTTTATATATTCAGTTCTATTGTGCAGAAACCAAAATGTAGTTGCACAACCGTATCCACTAAAACAGGTTCATCTTAATACAACTAATATTTCTAAATAAATCTAGAATATCAACTTTGTGAAGTAAATAACTTCTTATTTAAACACTAAGTTCAACGATAAACGGAAAAATATTTCAATTACTAAATATCACAATTTGTTTATGTGTTTTTATTAAAAAAGATATTAGATTTTACAAATGATTTTTGTTTCAACTTTAACAATTAACTACAATGTTAAAAGAAAAAAAATCGAATTAGACAGCATTTCGAATCTATATAGAAAGATTGGTCATATATAAGTAAAATATCATCGAAAATTTAATTGAAAAAAAAGTATCAGAAATTGTATTATAATGTGAAAGGCTCGAAACAACTAGAAATAAGGGCTGGTCTGTTAAATATTTTGAATTAAATATGTATTAGCCAAATGTAGGTTGGAGATCAATTATGAGAATAACTATGTACTGTTATGAATTTGCAAATTTGCTAAATCAAGTGATAATTTCCTAAATTTAAATGAGATCATTCCTCTAAATTTAATTAAAAGCTTGTATATCGATATTATAATAATATAATTTAATTAGGTTAAATTAACATTTCGAAATGAGATCAATTGTATGTTCCTCAAAGTATGCATTTGTAAATCGAAGACCAAAAATGAAAACAATTATTACCGTTAACTATTTTAAAATAAAAAGATAATTTAGAAGCATTTTTAATCAACTGCAGTGAGAGTTGAGCAAATAACGATATAACAGATCAAATAATCACATTTCACCACTAGGAGATTCAGTCGCATATATAGACGAAGTAAATAACAGTAAAGCTAAAACGTCTAAAAATATCTTCAGGTAAAAGTCCTTCAATCTAAATATTAAACTTAATGTAGGCTAGTACTGGAATGAATGAAATGAATATAATGATTTGGAATATACTTTATAGTTATACATAAAATAGTTTGTCCCATCTACATTTAAAGGATGTTGCAATGTTTAATTTAAAAAATGTAAGATATTGTTAATGCAGAAAGTTTAGTTAATTGATGCACATTGTATAAATTAATTAAATAAAAAAATCAACTGACTTGATGATGCAATAAATTTGGAACCCTAGATGATAAGAGTGAAAAAATTACAAACTTTTACCAGATACATAACATTACATATTCAGTTTTAACTTAATAAATAATATTTGTGCCTATAACCTGTTTAATGTAAGATGGGAGTTTGGTTTGGGAAGTGTACTAAGGTAGTCTGGCGTACAACGTCCGTCCTGCCAAGTGTACAGGCTAGAAACTCCGGAGCCAACCTTTATAATTAAATTTCAGATTAGATTATTTTTTTCTAATTTTACGACATGACAATAATTATCCCTAAAAAGGCGGAATCAATGTTAATTTTCGTAATTATATTTTATTATAATTATTTTTTCCTACTTCCACTTGATCTTTAGAGTTCCTTGTCCACCCTTCTTCTTGTTTCCAGTAAACTACTCCATGCATCTGACCGCAAACCGAGATATGAATCACACGTCGAAGTAACTCCTAAATATTTACTAAATAATTTTTTTATCTGACTAAATCTTTCATTAAGCTTTTTATTGTAAAAGAATTTCTGACTTAAAAGCAAAAACCAAATTGATTTTTAAAAACCTTTAGAGAAACACAAAGTTTGTTTCAGCTAAATTATTTTAAAATCTTTTAGAAGATATTTGTTTGTCCCCAGGACATGATCCGGTTGTAAAGATCAAATCTCGGAATCTTTCTTTTAGAAAAGGTTGGTGTTTTATGGCTTTTATTGATATGACAGAGGTTGTGGACTGAATTCAGAACTTTTTTGTTTTGAATCTCAGGATCAAGCACTGATCTCCATCTCTTACGGATCAATATAATTCCTCTCCGATATTCCATGTTAGCCATCCCTGACGAAATAGCTTTAACTAAGGGATCAAGCATTGATCCTCAAATTTAAGTGTCCACATTGATGTTCAAGATGAACAGTATCCGTACAAAAGTCCATCCTTTGGCAGCACATTCATCCATCCATGATTCATTTCTCCTGAGAACAGGGCTGACAAGATTCCAGCTGTTCAGGGGCTGCACTTGAGAATAGCTGGCAACCATAGATTATAGTTATATCACTCTCCCTGCTTGTCAGCCTTTTCTTTCTCCATCATCCTTTACTTTGGTACGTACACAGATTATTATTATTTGATTTGGGAGCCCTTTCGCTGCTAGTGTAGTTTTAGAAACCTGATGTCCTTTCTTTAGTTGCTATTTCTAACTTGTACTATTTGATCTATGACAGAATTTATATTTTGAAATAGCAAAGGATGTTGTTTCGGGTTGCAACGATATAGGGAGTAAAAAATAAGAGTTTATACCAAAAACTGAATTCCTTTGTTAGCTAGTAGATGTGTATCTTTCTATGAGACTGTTAAAACAAGTTCTAAGCTTTGCATTAGATTTCTTTCTAGTTTATGCAGTTTGGCAGAAATTTATTTTCCATTGCATTGTTCTGTAAATCTTTCTTATCTTAGTAAAATGTTAGTTAAGAAACAAATGAAATATTTTGATGTCCCATTGGACCAGCATGGAAAGTTCCGGTTTGACAAGAATTTCTAAATACAGGAACAAATTATTTATATATTGAAGGAATATGTTATATATAAATATGTTATGTAATGAGTAATGATCAATGTCGCCTATTTTTGCATAATTTTGCATATTTTTCTCTTTTTTTTTTGTAAAACTATATATTCAAATTATTTAGACAAAGGAATTAAGTCTTTGCCACAAACTCTGATTTTCTAATCCCCTTAACTTTTCAACCTGGAGGTGAAATCCTTTGATATTCCAAACTATGACTTCTGTTGAATTAAATAATCTAAGTTTGAAATATCAAAGCTTTATACCATTTTCTTATGCTACAGGTATACCTATAGTATAAGCAAATTTGAGTTTGGGGCAAAAACTCAATTCCTTTAAACTACACCATTTATATATGTTTTTATATCTTTGTGTGTGAATAAATCTTTATATATATTCATATATATGTTTTATTTATGCTTGAAACTAAGAAAAAAAAATATTGTTCGGATAAATGTAAAGAACTTTTGATTTCGTAAACAAATATTTTTGAATATATGAAGAATTCCTTGGAAGAAATAAGTGGATGAAAGAAAAGTAAAATCTTTTATATACATTAAGGATTTTAGAAAAGATTCAAAATAGTTTCCTTTCCAATCTAATATTGTAATTTTAGATTTGCAATCTACTTTAGTTGCTAAATAAGACTCACTAACTGCCTTTCAACATCGTAAGCCCAGAAATAAATGTTTCATGGTGATAATAAAATTGGTCTTACTATCACAGTTTAGAAACAGATACAGTTACAGTTAGTGAACCTTAATTCAACATTTTTTTGTTTGAAAAACACTACTTTTAATTCTTGTCTACAGTGTTTTTATTCAAATAAGTAAGCTAGTTTTTAGAACCGTTTTAACCAGTTTTTATTCTGTAAATAGAAATTTTTAAAAAAATTACTTTTGATATTCTAGAAATACAAGAGTGGAGTGCAGAGTATATTTTTGAAACATCTTGTTTATCCCCACTCACACCTAGCTCACTAGGAGTACTGGACAGCGTATCCTAACAACAATTTATTATTAAATTTAGTATTTTCTAAAGATAACATTTTTAAAAATTAAAAAAAGAGGTTCTTAATCCGGATTGACAAAGATTAATATAACGAACCTAAAATATAAATAATTTAATCTGATCTAATCGTATAACAGAAAAAGCAAACACATGTGATTTTTTGCAATTAATCTTTATTATGATATACAAGAAGTTAATTTCATTTTACATAATGGTTTATTTTACTCTTTTTAGGAATAGCTATAATATTATCTTTTTCTGCTCTCAATATTTATTACCTTAACGTTTTTAACTACGACCTCCCTTGTTTGTGTATTGAGTAGACACACTTTGACACTGGTGGTGCCGATATCTATTCCAAGGATATAAGTAGAGTTCTGCCAGAAATAAATATATTTAAAGCTATATGATGGAATTACAAGGATAATTCAATATCCAAGTGTGGTTTTAAGATTATTTTTATTATTCTTATTTTTTAAGCAAAGTAACTTAGTTTTTAAGACAAACTCTGATTTTATAACCGCTATATCTTTGCAACCATTTGCAGACCTTTGATATTCCAAATATAAATTCTATTAGATTTAGTCTAAATTTTGAAATATCAAAGGTAACATCGCAAAGATACATGGATGGGAAAGTTCGAGCTAAACTCAGTTCCTTTAAACCTTTTATTGTGATTCATTAATTGAACTTAGGAATTTGTTGAATTTGTTATGTCTAGAGATTAGAAATGATGTTTCATTCTTACATGAGCATTTGTACTATTTCTTCTCTCTAACTTTGCCATTTTTCCGATTACATAATCTGAAAAGTTTAAAAAAGATAACTAAAGAGAACTGGAAAATAATAATGATATAAAAATGATGAGTTGTTATACCATATGGGATATAAGTATATGTAGGATCAAGATATCTGAAATTTGTCAAACTGTGTGGTTAATTTTGTAGTTTATATATCTTCTACATATGCTGAATTAAAACTTGTTTTTAGTGTATTCAACGTAATAAGTATTAATAAAATGTTTTCTTTCTTCATTTCGTTAGATAAAAGTCCTCAAAAAAGACAGATAATCGTTCAGTACTTTTGAAGAAGTAATGGAAGATTTTCTATCCTTTTTGGTGAATTTTTACCCATCTCTTAACGAAATGAAATATAAAAATTCATAAAATGAAAAACACCCGGTAGTTGCTATATCTGTCTTCCTTGTAAAGTTTTACTATTCCTCCTTTTGTCCCCTTCATTACTCAATGTTTATGACTCTATATCGGCACTGCACTTAATAACATATTTCTCTAGAAACTGATTTAAAAGACTGATGTCAATATCAGCTGATTAAGGAAAAATACCGCTGACACAGGTTTTATCGGTCCCTTCCTTTCATAGGATACGTTAAAATCGAAGTGACAAGTGTATCAAAGATAGAAAATTTGTATTTAAGAGTTGAAATTTGACTCCTCGATGTTTTTCATTCAAATTGATTTTAACTCAAACACTTTGGTTTAAATGAAAGGTGAGGCCCCCCCCCCCCCTCCCTCATAACCTCACAACCCACCTTGCCGACATTGGGACAGGGGTGAGCCAAAATGGGAAAATGAAATTCAAACATTTGATATTTTTTCAGTTTCAAACGAAAGGTTATATTTTAACTAGCATGAAAATATGATGTTTTTGTCACCAATAATGTATTATCTACAGTTTAATCCAGTCATTCGGAGACATCGAAAGAATTTATAAAAAGGCGTATTTTTAACTTTCTGATAATGGAATCCTGTAGATTTTTAGTTTTTAAATTGAATAATTATATGAATCTCTTTATATCTGTTCCCTAATATTCATGGCTATTTATTTATTTTTACAATTACTGAGATTTTGGTATAAACCCATTGAAAAATTGTGAGGACGACATTTTAGAAAATCCTTTTGATGGCAATAGCATTCTTAAAATTAGTTTTAAAAAGACTCCTTTTTGTAAGAAAAATTTCAAATACTTATTTTCTCGTTTTTTGATGCGTTTGTAAATATAGTCCATATTTTAATTTTATTTTCCGGCTGTTTTTGATAGATCCCAACTTATATTTTGATAGAACATAATTCAGATTAGCTGAGGTCCCAACAAATATTATCCGAAAAGAATATAAGGTGTCATACCTATTCTTAAAAATTTTAAATTTTCATTCTTCATATTCTTCTGAGTGTTGAAAACTAAGGGCTAATTAAAACCCCATTCATGTTCTTGAGCTTTTAGTTTCAAATAATTTCTTTCTCAATTTTAGTTCTTCCCCCAGGAGGGAGGGGGTGCAGAGCCACCTTGAGCCCCGCGAAATGACCTCGGGAGCCTTCTGATACATATAATCACCTCCAATCTCCACAAAACCGTCTCCGTGCCTCTCCCTACATCTCCAAGCCTCGTCATTCTGTCTCCACACCCCGCATTTTAATTTCCATTTATTGTATTTACTTTTGATTTAACTTGTATTGTTTTATAGCTTAACCAACCAAAAATCAAAATATATCTCTTCACATCCAAATAATTTAAAGAATCGTTTAATCCACAAATTTCAAATATTACTTCATTCAATTAATCATAACTAGTTTTCTTATGAAAAGTTTACACAAAGCATTCAATAAAAGCACAAATTAAAGTATTTGACAAAAACAACTTTGTTTGGTGAATTGGTGCTCATATTGTTTGATTCTTTCATGATACACCTGTAAAATCTATATATAAATTTGGCTTGTCTGTTTGTTTGTATCCAATAAACGTCAAAACGGCTAATTCGGGCCCAAATTTTTTTGGGGACGTCACGTGACCACAGGGAAGGTTTATGAATGATAAAAAAAAATATGTTTTAAAGATTTTTAAGTTTGTAAAAAAATTTAAAAATCCGCAAAATTTTTTTCTTCTTTGTTTTAAAATGTAAACAAAAAGAACATGTTCACAATTTAAATAGAAGATGGGCGCGAAGCGCTCTAAAAGCCTAGAAAGAAGGGCGCGAAGCGCCTTGAATTTCTAGTAATATAATAATTCCCTATCTTTATATCCAATAGTCATTAACAAGTTCAGGAATTTGGGAAATTTAGAAAACAAAACTAGATGCCTTAATCTAAATTAAAATAGACTTTTCAATAGAAATTATTCATGCATCTTTAAAAACTATTTTATCATGTTGAGATTTTAAAAAAAATGTTGTTTCGTGGATGTAAAACCAATTATGTCTTTTATTGGAGACCAAAATGCAGGGCGTGAAGACAGAATGGCGGAGGCTTGGATACGTAGTGAGAGGCGTGGAGACGGTTTGCGCGGGGCTTTGAGGTGATTCTGCTCCGGAGGTCATTTTGTGGGGCTCATGGCCGCCCTGTATCTCTCCCTCCCCAGCCCTTGCAATGAAGAATTTTATTTAATACCATTTTTTAGAAGATATTATTAATCGTATTTATTTTACAATCTCTCAATATAGTTTATGAGAATAGTTGGTGAAAATTAATCTTATCATAAGCATATCTTTAACTTTTATCTTTATCAATCTGAGAAGATTGTAGTAATAGTTGAGAAATCTGAAAACTGAAAAAATTTATATATTTGGGTACGTAAGGCAGAATCATTTGTTTTTTTAAAGAAGCTTTTATTATTAAATTATCCAACTGACCGAGGTATAGATTTTTAGACTGTGATTTACCGAACTTCATGTATACAGTTTATTGTTTATATATTTTGTACTTGAAGTTGGACATTGTAAACCAATATTTTAGTTTGGATTAAGTTGTCCCATAACAGGGCTTCAAGGATATTAACAATTAACATGTAAAAGCTATGTTAGCTAGTTGACGTACTTCTTCCTATACGACTATTCAAGCAAATTCGGAGTTCTGCATTTATTTTCTATTGATTCTTTTTGTAAATATGTCTGATCTGAGAAAAACGCTAGTTAAGAAATAATTGATGTCCCATTGAAGCATGCATGGAAAATTCCGATTTTATAAGAATTAAAAAAAGAATAAATAATTTATATGGTTAAAGAATCGATTTGATGGTGAATTTATTAAAAAAGAGATATGTTTAGTAATGAGTAATAATCAATGTCGCCTAATTTTGCATATTTACATTAATATATTTATTTTTTATTGTGAATAGTTCTCAACATTGAAAATATAATTAATTTTTAATGTTTTAAGTAGTACTCGTTCTTACATTTAGCCTTAAAGACTTTAAAGCAAAACGTAAAAAAAGACTCTTCTAAATCAAAATTTATATTTCTTATTTATTTTTGCCTTAAACCTCACTAATATGGAAAAGAACCCTTCGTAAAATATGAAATAATATACTCTTTCTTTCTTTCCAAAAGGGTGATCCTCCCTTTTGGATTGGTCACTGAGCGGAGTGCTTTAATATATACATCTTTGCAACCTGGTTGTAAACTTTAGATATTTCAAAAGGTATGAAACCTAGCTATACATAACATTTAAACTAAAGAATAGATTCTGACTTGATCAAAAATATTCAAACATTGTATGATTGCGGACATTTATTTCAACGTATTAAAAATCTTTGAATGGAAATACAGAATAACTATTTATAACACTGTTATTTTGGTTCGCAGTGTTATAAAGTTAAAAGATATTTTCTCATTATCAAGAAGGTTAAAGCCTTATAGATTCAATTTTGAACCGAGCTTTAGCGATGGGACAAAATGTAAATGCTTGTGTCTTATTTCAATAGCTATTATTATAGATCAAATAAGCTTTGAAACAAAGCAGGAGTAACTATAATCCGTCTGTAGGGGCTTCACAGCTTTACTCCAGAGTATTCAGGGGCTAGGGAAAATGAGAACGTGACGAAAACGTTGCGTAACAAGCACGATGATTACTTTATAGCACGTTCATTATGAAATTCGCGATGAAATGAGGAAGAATAATAAAGTAAACAATATTTTCACAAAAATGAAAAAGAACTTTAATCAAACATGATGCCGAATTTAAAGAATTTGCGCCGCGGAGGCTTAAATTTAATCCACTGCTCAAATATGGTTGGTTCCACTTAAAATTGTTTTCAATGTTTCATGATTTAAGCCGGCGCCCAATTGAAACTGGTTTTTGGGAGATTTGAGACGTGGCTGGCTCAAATTCATTAAATTCAGACTCTGTTCACAGTTATCATACCAAGTTCAAATAAAATAAAAAGGAACAAAATTATTTTTTATTTGTAAAGTTGAAAAGAAAATTATAGCGCTGAGTGACAAAATCATTAATTCAATGTAAAACTGATAAATAAATGAACAGGCGGAAATAAATAACACACGCCTCTATAAGTGTCTACCGACCTGTTTTGGAGAATTCGTCTCTAATCAACTAATAAACATTTCAAAGATAAAGAAGAAATTAATAAATTTAAATAATTTAATTTAATTTAAATATATTCAATCCCCCGGAAAAATAAACAAAATGTTTCCCCTTAATTTAGTGAAGGTGATTGTTTTCAAAAATTACAAAATTATTTTCAACTTTTAATTACAAGTATACAGAAAATTAGTAATTGTAAATATCAAAAAGAAAAATCTGCCTTGAAAAATCAAAGTCTAAATATTTAAAATTTTGTTCTATTTTACTAGCTTTTTGTGTAACGTTAAACTAGTTTGTAAAAATATCTGCAAATCAAACTTCAAATCCAAAAGTTGTCAAAAATGAATATTGTGCTACCTTCCTTCCTAGAACTGGACTGGAACTGGACTGGAGGGATGGGAATCGATGGGAGAGAATGGGAGACTGGAATAGAAATGGGAGAGAGAGAGAGAGATAAGAATGGAAGAATCAGATGGCATGACAGTGACATTAGAGGGTCGACTCAGAAACCTCAAAAAAGAATGCTTTCCATGATATTTGTGATCTTTCAAAAGTAGTGAATTTATAAAATCTGTTGTGAGTTTACATTGAAAAAAAAAATTTGAGGTTTTTAAAATGTGAAATAACAAAGTTTTATTACATTTTTAATTTGTGAAAAATATTTTTGGGATAAAAATAATCTGAGGCTACACCAATCAATAATATAATAATCCTTTCTGATAAGAAAGCGGCTTTATGGGAAACAACCCTAGAAATTGGATCTAAACGACAGAATATTTTACAACTAACTGCATATATTTTGGGGGGAAATGTTAATAAATCTCTTCGTGCATACTTAAATTGTCAAATTCTACATAGATTTATATAATTAAAGAAAAGAGAGATTTGAGATTAATGATATGAAGAAGTTAATAATTAAGAAGTACTTTTTATCAAGAAAGAACATAACACACCTGGGGCAACAATTAGGATAAAACTAAATATCATTATTCAAAATTAATAAATTCGAAATTTTAGCTGAGAGAGAAAAGCAAAGTGCCATAAAGTGAAATTTTGAAAAGGAACATATTGAAAATCTGTTCATGAGAACAGGGATCAGCTGAATGTAAGCACTCACGAAAAATCGAATAGTATTTTGCCAACTACTCCTTTTAAACTTACGCTTTGCAGTTTAAAAATGTATATGAATTGGGCTACAAAAAAGTACAAGTGAGTTGATGAGGTAAAACCTAAGTCTAAGCCGTTGCGACGCTTTAAAATTCAAGACGTCTAAAACTTTGATGAAAAACATTCAAGTTGTCTAGATATCAGTGAATGTGGTTATTGTGGCAGCCCTAGGATCACCGAAAGAAAAGTAGGTATGCACAGAAAATGTTGATAATTAGGGTTTTAAAACAATTTTATCTTGAATTGGATGTTAAATAGAAAATGTTACGCTTTATTAAAAAAACTGGTGATTTTAGATTTAATTTGATGTTTTATAGAATATTTTTATCATTTTGCTTTCTTCAAAAGAAACAATTGTATGTTTCTTATATAAAAAAGAACAACAAAAATCTTCGAACAGAGTAGCGAGAAGCGTTTAAGGTAAACGTGTTACTGGATAGTACAAATTTCAACTAGCCATGTCTAGTTTAACCACTTTCCGCTGTTAATAATATCTTGACTCAGGACAAATATTTTCAAAAATGTTTTGATTTATTTTGTCTCACAAGTGCACACTCGCACAAAAGATGGTCTGGATTTATATAGGTTTTTAAAAAAATAGATTATTTAACTAAAAGAACAAATTGACTCCTAATTTAATAAAAGATAAATAAAATATTGATATTGAAATGAATAGGATTAAAAAAGAAGGATGTTACTACTGTATTTAAGATTTTTAGATAAATTGAATTTGCAATTAATATATTTCCATTTTTCTGTTAATATTGAATATTGAAGAAAGTATATTCTTGAATATTTCCCCCTGGGGAATTATTGAAGATAATAAAACAACAAAACAAGGTTGAAGAGATCAAGGGAAAGTTTTGAATAGGTCAGCATAATAAATTATAAACTAGACAATAGTAAAAGTTAAAATTTATGCGACTGGTACAAATTTGTGACCTCGATGCTGCTCTAGTTTTAATCTTATGCACAAGTTTGAAAAAAGCAATTTTATCTGGTTACATATCAGAAATTTAAAAAAAATGGATTTCTCAAATAGCTTTACAATAAGAGGATGTATTATTCAAATCATATATTTTAATCTTACGTGCATTTTACTTTAGTTTGACGTAATGAGCCCACAGACTAAAAAATCTTGTAGATATTGTAAACATGGTTAAAGAGTAAATTTAAATTGATTTAAACGTTAATGAATGACTTATCTTTTATTCAAAGTTCGAATCTCTAAGCAAAGACAAAAAAGTTTAATAATGAAAAAAATTCTGTTGAATTTAATAATCTAAGTTTGAAATATAAAAGGTTTTACAAATACACCATCAGATTGCAAAGTCTAGAAAATTTGAGTTTTAATTCCTTTACATTTATTTAGATGTTAATGAATGATTTATCTTCTATTCAAAGTTTGAATCTCTAATAAAAGACAAATAAGCATTACAAATTTAAAAAAGCCCTTTAAAAATGTGTCAATATTTCTCAAGATTGAAAAAATAAACAAATATTTTTTATTTTTACTACACACTTATATAATATGAATTTCAACTTGAAAAATTTCATAAATCAGCTGGCCTTGAAAAATTTGCCTACGAATTAATTCAAAGAAATTTTATATTTCAAAATATGGTACAATAGTCTGGATCCAAACTAACGATTAGCCATTTCAAACATTTTTTATCTATATTCATCAAATTTAAAATACTACATTCAAAAAATTATTCATAACTTTTCTATGCATATTTAAGCATTCTTCGTATTAATAGATATTAAGACGGGTTGACAAGGATATCACTGTTAAAGAGATTGTTCACCTATTTCTAGATACTTATAATACCATAATTCTCGAAAAAGAAGTGAGTTTTTGCCACAAACTCAAATTTTTTAATCCTTGTATCTTTGCAAACTGATGGTGTAAAGCTTTGATATTTCGAACTTAAATTATTTGGTCAATCATAATTCATAGTTTGAAATATCAAAGGTCTACGCCATTGTGTTGCAAAGATATAGGGAACAGAAAATCAGAGTTTTTGGCTAAAACTCAGTTCCTGTAGAAAAAATCCCTTTACTTTTTTTCTAAACATACGTTGTTTTTATTTTTTAGATTTACAATTATACATGTAAACAATGCTTAAATCAAAAACTTTAAATCGGCAATGTCAGAATGCCAAAATAAAGAAGAAAACATTTTTGTGAAAGAATGCTTAAAGCGCATTGAAACGGATTGGAATACAGGACATTTAAAATTTTCAGAGGTGTTAGGTATTTTCCCAAAGGCATTTTCCCAAGGGTGACTTCCAAATGACAATTTGCCAAGTGGCAATTTCCAAATTGTGGAATTTCCTAATCGCCAACTTCTAAAAGGTTAGTTTATGCCTTCTGATGCACCTCAGGCTGCAATAGGAGCCGAGCGGTGGCTAGGATGGTATAGCTTTGGAAACTTACATCTTTTCAGAGGTATGTAACAATTTTAATATATTTTATACAATAAAAAGTATATATTTTCTAACAAGTAGATATAGTGCACTGAAAGTATAAAAAATTCATTAAAGGAATCGAGTTTTTGCCACAAATCCCAATTTTATAATACCTTAATCTCAATAACCAGATGATGCATACCTTTGATATTTCAAACTTACATTGTTTGATCCACCTTAAATCATAGTTTGAAATATCTACGGTCTACGACATTTGGTTTTAAAGAAATTGGGATTTAAAAATTCGAGTTTGTGGCGGCAAAGACTCAATTCCTTTATTTTAAACCTGAATTTTTTTAATACGCATTTGACATACAAACTTGAACATTCCTGGCCATCAGGAACATCTTTTAGTGGTGATTCTCGTTAAAATTATTGGTATTTTGAAACATGGTAAACAATCCTTTTGGTCCTTAATATTGAATCCTTTGCTTTTTAAAGTAAAAGATGAAGAATTTCCCTCAGTTAGGAAAAGCTTTATAAAGGTTATAGGTAAAAATGACGTCCGGAAGATCCAGAAAATGATGGGATGGGGGACCTTGTTGGATTTCTTGATTCTTGAAGGAATGGAAATGAAACATTCAATTGTTTGCTTTGAAACAGAAAGATCTACAAAAAAAATCGAAAATCAGAAGAAGAAAAAAGATTGGAATGGAAAGATAAAGTAGTCTAGCTCCGTTCCGAACATGCATTCTCATCTCTCCTAAACAAAGGACTTTGAATTAAATAAGAAAATTAAAAATTGTAAAAAGCATTTTATTATTTTTTTTAGCTAATTTACAAATGCATTTTTTATACCCTGAAACTTATCAAATTGACAAAATGTGGAAAATTTTTTTATGCTTTGACAAATATTTTCCTCTAACGAGCTGATCACTTTCCTAAACTGTAACTTTCCTTTGTCTATATATTTGCTACTAATGGTGTAAATCTTCGATATATAATCTAACATTGTCCGACATCAGGAAGCGAAGATACACGTCTAAGATAAGAGTTGGAGGCAAAACAACGATGTTCTGATTAAAGACTTCAATGAAATAACTTTTTTTTATTAATATATCAAAGACATTTTTATCGAAAATAATCATAAGAAATTCCTTACCATCTGAGACATATACCGTAACCATCCCTTTTTCAGCGTTTGCGCTTCCACAAGTATAGTTTCCACCATCCTCCAGTAGGGCACTGCTGATCAATAACCGAGTACTGGTCTTCTTAGTTCTACTCCCTTCATTATAACAAGAAGTCAGGTTAATTCTTCATTTCGTTTCAAAACATAAATGGAAGAAAACCAAATGAAAAGTGTAATGAATATTTCAATTTAAAGTTGATAATATTTTTACCTGAATCGAATGATACTTTTGTTCGTCTTGTATCATAAGAAATAATCTTATTATTGTGATACCAGAAAACAAACTGCGGTGGCTCCAAGGTCTACGTGGATTTCAAATTATTGATATTTTTATATTGTGGGACATAAGAAAACAGACTGTGCACTATCATGTTTTTAACAGTTAAAAAATCTTACATCTTCTATAATGCAGACGAGAGATATTGCTGTCCCAGTTTGAGCATAGTATTCTTCACTGCCTAGTATATAAGCGCGGGGAACTATAACCTTCAGATTATAGAAATGTGATATACTCCCCTTAGACGTGGAAACCTAAAACAAAATTTGAAAATTTAAATAAGATTCCAGTATTTCGAAATAATGTTTCTTCATAACTAATCTAGGTTGTTAGGAAAATTGTAATTAAGCATAATGTTTTTCTACATAAATCTGTTCTTTGATCTATCTTATTTCATACAAGAATAACGGATTCTAAGAACTGAAGAAAAAACGCAAACTTTTATAGAAATCTTGAAAAGATGAGACTCCGTGATGCTTTACTTGATTTCGCAACTTAAATATAAAGGATAGAGGGGGAAAGTTTCTCAGATTGTCATGTGTTCTGATTAAAAAATATCACTGAAATTAACCTTAAAGAAACTAAATCTGCAAAAATATTAAACAAAGAATAATCAGTATTTATCTTGTGAATTATGAGACGTTTAAATGCGAAAAACCTAGTTGTATATCGTGTGAATAAATTTTATATAAAAAACTAAAATAACTGAAACTTTATTAGCTTATTTCTGTTCCTATATCTACCATCCTTGACCTTAACACCCTGTATCTTAATTTATCTCTACATTAAAATCCCTCTGATCTCACCCTGCCACAGATCACCTGACAATCTCCTTCCTTCCAATCAACTCCTTACCTATCCAAA